GGGAAAGGGTGTGAGATGGAGAGAAAGTGTAAATCATACACAAGAAGTTTCCAAATGCAATGGGCTTGCTACATACAGTAGGGCTCACACACTTGGTGCATGTAGTTTGCAGGAAAAGAGAAACTTGATGGTCAGTTATGCAATTTATGTTGTCCATTAGATAAAACCTGAGCACTTGCTCAAAATTGCCTCATTTTACAGATGAAAGAACTGGGGCCCAGAAAGGGGAAGGATTGCTCAAGGCTGGCGGGACACAGACCCAGGTCTTTCCATAGGAAACTGGGTTGCTTATTTCCTTCTTTGAATCTGGGATCATTTGTTAAAGCACATGTTTTAAACTAACATTTATTAAATGTTTATTTGGGGCCAGCCTCTATGCTAAGTACTATACATGGATCGGCTCATTTTATCCTCATGAAATCCTAAGAAGTAGCCCTGCTATTTTGTAAATGAAATATTGATAACTGGTGTGCTGGCTGAAAGATTGCAGCTCCATCCTGGGCCATTTGGAAATGCACGTCCCCCCTTCATGCTGTCTTTCTCTCACTTTGCTCATTTCTCACAACTTCTACGGACCTGGTCTCCCTTGAAGGTCAGATCTTTTACACATAACTTCACAGCAAAGAACATTTCATCTTTATTTAAACAAATTCTATACACAATAATTTTAGATAAGAACTGTTAAGGAGGGTAGAGCATATTCGGAACAGGATTTGGAATGCAGCAATGTAGCTGAGGCACAATGGGCCCTGAGCTACCCCACTGGCAGAGGCTAGCAGAGGTGGCCCCAGAGTCAGCCCCACAGAATGGTTGGGGAGCGTGGATTCTGGGGACAGACAGGTCTGGCTTCAAGCCCCCATTCTGTCACTCACTAATTATGGGACCATGAAGTGTTTCCCTAATTTACTGAGCCCTGTTCTCATCTGATCATGATCATAATCGTACCTATCCCTTGGGTTCTTAGAAGATTAAATGAAATAATAAACATAACACGCTAAGCAGAGTCATCATAAGCGCTCAAAAACGGAAGCTTTTATTGTCATTATTATTATTAACATAGTTGGAATTTTGGTGTGATCCCTAGGAAGGATGCAGGACCTGGAAGGAGATTTGAGTTCTAACGTCACCTTTGTTACGTAGCTCTACAACTTCACGCATGCTCTCTATCACTTCCCTTTTCTGTCTGGTGAGACCCATGTGCTCCCACTCTCATCCCAAAGTTGCTGAGAGACCAAACATCATCTTAGATGGGAAAGTGCTTTGAGATATACAGAAAGGAAAAACAAATGAATGTTTCTATAGTTTACTCACCTTATAGGCACTTGTACTCAAAATCAGTCTGAGAAAATGGAAAGGGACCAGAAACTCCTTCATAGCTATAGATGGGTGTAGATGGGTGTGGGTAGAAGTGAACCTGGATGGTGAGAAATCACAGTCCCCTCAGCTCCTTCAACTGAGTGTCCTGTGACCGTGCTAGCTAGCACCTATTGCCTTTGTCCTCAAGGTTCCCAGTCCTAGTTGAAAAATAATGCAAGGGAAGAAAGTGGAATAAGATGTATTTTGTTGTTGTTGTTTCATTCTGATTTCTCTGTGTGAAATATCCTTCTAGACCCACTCTTCCTTGGGAGCTCCTATTTACCCTTCAGGACAGCTCAAACATCACTTCCTCTGTGAAGCCCTCCTTGATCCCTTGGGTATTTTCACTCTCTATGTGCTCATATATTGTGACCACTGCTCCATCCTGTAACCCTTTGCAATCACAGGTGATTCTCATTATTTGGTATTTATGTTTTATAAAGTTGCCATGGACACTGAATGAGTGAATACTGAACCATTGCTCCTAGGGGAAGTATAGGGTTAGGTTCCTGTGAGCCACTGGTCACAACATTTTCATCAACTGATCTATATATAACCTTGTTTTACCCACATTTATGTTTAAAAAAACACTTTATTTAATATACCTATGGATTCATTAACATTAAACTCACAGTTAGCAGCATTATAACTCATGTCTGAACAAAACTTATCTAACACACATTTTCTTTAAAAGAGATGTCACAGCCTTCTTGCTCTTAGGAACACTACACGGCACTTCAGCTCTGTGCTTAAGGACCATTTTAAATAGAAAAATGACCAACAGAAAGTACCCAAGTGCAAAACGTGGCACTAAATAGACCTCTAAAAGGATACTTGTTTACAGAATGAGAGCCGAAATGAGAAGGCAGAGCACCACCTTGTTGCACCTCAGCTGGGGCTGTGCGGGTAGGGCAACTCAGAGTTTTCACCGCACCAGCCTGGGCATGCCATCGATGACTGGGAAAGGATTGATTTGGGAGTTACCAATAAATTTCAACCAGTAGGCAAATCTGCACGTATAGAAGCTGTAAATAATGAGCATTAACTGTATTTGTTTATGTGTTGGACTTTTTTTAGTAGCATGAGGGCTTCTTATGGGAAGGCTGGTGTCTATGCTAGATATCTTCACTTTCTCCAAACCCACTCCACTCTTTGCGCCCTAGCCCTACTCTCTCCCCCGGGGACTTACCTTTGTGGACTGCCCTGCTACAGTTTCCTCATCCTCTGGCTTCCAGTTGGGTTTGGCCAACAAGAGGCCTCAGCAGTTGATGGGATAAGGGAAGAGAGTGGGGTCAATGGCTTCCTCTTTGTGATGTTGCCTTGGGCTTCCTTACTAAAGGTCCTCTCCTTTCAAGGCAACCTTCTCGGAGTGATGTCTGCTTTCACATTCAAATGAGCACTCCCCCCTCCTGTCTCTTCAGGCCTCCAGGTGGTAACTGCTCCTTGGCTGTTACTTTCCTCTGTACTTTCTGTGGCTCTCCTAAACCTGACCCACACTCTTTTAAATAATCCTTTCCCTTTCGTAAATAAGTCCTCCTTGAATTATCTTAATTTGAGTGTGAAGTGTTTGGTCTCTAACTGATAAGATATCTTATTCATCCTATACACCCCACACAGTGCCAGGAAATGTCAGGTGAATCAGTAACTACTATTTATGAAGTAAAGAAATGATCTCTAAAACTCCTTCTAACAGTTACTGTGTGATTCTGTGATCCCACAAGCCAACTTGGAGACAGTCTCGAAGTCATTGAAGACACACGCAGACACACACAAATACACACTGCCCAAGTCTTGCTGAATGGATTATGTTCCATCTCTTCCTCAAGGTGGTGGACTTGTGTGTTGGAAGATTCCAGGGCGAGTAGGTAGGGTCTGCAAGATAAATGCTCTGAGGAGCAGAGCTGCTCATCCAACTGCTTTAGGAGTTTCATATCCGGGTCATTTCCCAGTGGGAGTCGAGCCCAAAGGCGAGTCCCACAAAGGACTGTGCAGGAGCCACGGGCGTTCTCACTTGTGCCTAATGGTCCTCTGGTGCATGAACTGGCTCCTGCCATGGATGCGGGCCTGTGGTGAACTAAAAGGTACGCCAAATACAAGCACACCCCAAATACAAGCCTGCCTTTATGCCACTGGGATTTTAAGAGGAAGGGGGACAGCTATTCATCGCTGTCCAACTGTGACTCAAGAACTCCCAATTACAATTTCTACATGGCACCCACACAGCAGATGACAGTGAATGAGTATGAACAATAATCTGGTACTCGGAACAAGGCAAAAAATCATCTTCACATTGGCTTCTTTTCCATCAGTGTTCCTGTCTCAAATCCACTCACTATGCTGCTGCATGATGCATTTTTTTTTTTTAAAGATTTTATGTATTTATTTGACAGAGAGACACAGCAAGAGAGGGAACACAAGCAGAGGGAGTGGGAGAGGGAGAAGCAGGCTTCCCGCCGAGCAGGGAGCCCGATGTGGGACTCGATCCCAGGACCCTGGGATCATGACCTGAGCCGAAGGCAGACGCCTAACCAACTGAGCCGCCCAGGCACCCCAGGATGTATTTTTAAACACAGATTTGACCTCTCCTTGCTTGATAACATCTTTTCTATCTGTAGGTAGAGTTCCCACATTTCTTGTCTTTTAAAATATGCTCCTTGGGGTGCCTGGTTGGCTCAGTCGTTAAGCATCTGCCTTCCACTCAGGTCATGATCCCAGGATCCTGGGATCGAGCCCCGCATCGGGCTCCCTGCTCAGCGGGAAGCCTGCTTCTCCTTCTCCCTCTGCCCCTGCTTGTGTTCCCTCTCTCACTGTCTCTCTCTCTCTGTCAAATAAATAAACAAAATCATTACCAAAAAATAAATAAATAAAATATGCTCCTTATGTAGGTTTACAACTTCTGTTTTCAATTTGCCTAACCCCTTCTATTATCCTTACCCTTGCCAACACCTCACACCCACCCCTACAACTTACACTTCAGGGAGGATAAACTGATAATAGCTTCCCCATACATTCTATTTCCTCTATCCCTCTACCTGGAAAGTATTTCTCTTATTTCTGCCCACTTACTTCCTAAAAACAAAACAAAAAACCCATAATTCATCTTCAAAACAGAGTCGGACATTATATCCTCTATGACGGTACTTCTCAAACTTTAATGTGCTGATGATCACCTGTGGATCTTGTGAAAATGCAGATTCCCATTCAGTGAATCTCAGGATGAAGTCAGAGAATTCAGATTTCTCATAAGCTGGTCATATTGCTGTTGATGGTCCAGGGTCCATACTTTGAGTAGCAAGGTTCTAGAAAGTTTTTCCTGATGTCCCCCTTCCCCTGAGAGAATCCATCACTTTTCTGAGCTCTTCTCCTCTTTGACTACATTTCTGTTCTTGCTCTAATTGCCAGATTATAATTTTACTTGTTTATATGTCTGCTTTTTTTTATGACTTACCTAGAGTTTCTAAAAAGTAAAGACTGCTTTTTTCATCTTTGTTTCCATAGCTCTCAGCAGAGTGTATCATAGGAACACAGGAAGCATTTGATATTTACTTGTTGAACAAATGTTGAATGATATATAGTCTTTACTTGTTTGTGGAACATGAAGCCATGTAATCATTTTTATTTAAGGAAAATTTTTGGTTGTTTGACATTTGGGCAAATATGGAACCCAGGTCATATATACTGTATTTATTAAAACATACAGCTTTATTTGCTAAATCCGTCCTTTAACTATGTGCGCTTTATAAATGGTTAGAGATATTTGTAACATTTTTATTGTGAATACTAGCAATTACTGTACAGTAATAAATATTCAATACATCCAAATATAAATAGTTCTCAAAAGGTACAAAATGCAAAATCTATAAAATGCACCTAGAACCAAAACTTTGCATAAGGGAATTCCCTGTGAACACATGGTACCATTTTCAAAATGTGAGAGGGGTAGAAAAAAACAGGCAGGAAGCTCATTTTGCAGGATAGGACACCGGGGAGTTAACATGTTCAGTTAAGGCCCAGGGAATCTGAGCTTGAACACAATAACACCATGCAAGGGGCAATTTTTGAAACCAGACCACAGAAATCAGTCAATTTTGATGTTTTCCTTCAGGCTGGATGTTCCAGAAATCATCTCTAATTAAGGGTTCCACAAGAGAATGTACAAAATGCCAGAAAGTAAATAGGGATGCTTTTGGATATGTTGAGTAAGATCATCTTCTGAATGATAGAGTTTTATCTTAAGGCAACCAGTTTCACAATAATTATAGTTACAAGTTATGCATCTGAATCTCCAGCTGGTCAAAATATCACAAGATTTAGAAAGAGTTAATTGTAACACCATCCAATAATCTCTCTAAAAGTTTTATCTGAACACCGTAGGAAAATGAAATCTCTCTTACATCAGGGAATACCCTTCTCCACAAAGTGCCCAAGAATACTGCAGCTGGCTCAAAGTTGAAATGATAATTAAAGGAAGCATTTATACACCTGCAGGCAGATCTTTCAAAACTGCTTTGAAGCTCACCTATAAATGGCATCATGCAACATGACTGTGGAGGGGTGGGTGAATCAGAAGGGCAATTAACCGAGTAACTCCAAAGTCATTAACTCTAACAAAGGTGAGAAGACAGAAGAGAAAAAGAAGATCCTATTCCAAGTTGGAGGGCTACATGGCCAACCATAGTGGCCTATGCGGAAGAAACATCACTTGGTGGTTGACTTCTTTTTGGCTTTCTTTTTTTTTTAAAGATTTTATTTATTTATTTGAGAGAGAGAATGAGAGAGAGAGAGCGCACATGAGAGGGGGGAGGATCAGAGGGAGAAGCAGACCCCCTGCTGAGCAAGGAGCCCGATATGGGACTCGATCCTGGGACTCCAGGATCATGACCTGAGCCGAAGGCAGTTGCTTAACCAACTGAGCCACCCAGGCGCCCTCTTTTTGGCTTTCTATGTCTTTCCCCCAGCTGTATTTATCTCCTCTGCAACCCCTTTCATCCTCAGTAGAAAGAAGTGTTGAATAGGAATAAAGAGACGGCATTGACAGCAGACAGACGTGGGCTCTACATTTCCTAGCTCTGTCACTTTGGCAAGCTGTCTTGGCTTTTTAAAGCCTCAGTTCCATCATCTGTAAAATGGGAATAAGAATACATCCTCACGGGGGTGGTGTGAACTCAGGATGAAACGAAACTCTGCACATAAGGCCTGCTGCTCAGTACATACTCACTTTGCATATTTCAGCGCTCCACCAACAGTAGGCTGCCTTGTGCATCTTGGAAGCACCCCATTCAGTGCTTGACTCACTTTCCATCCAGATGGTTTGAGCGAGAACAGACCCCTCGCTCCTCTCCTAGACTTTGAGGAGACTAGAAGCCTCAGCCTTCACGTTGCAAATCTCGAGGGCCTAACCCAGTTTCCAGGTCTCTGCAGGCCACACTGCCCAACACAATGCTGCCCTCTGCTGGTGAGGGTGGAAGAGTGCAGAGAGGGGACTAATCCCAGACGCCAGAAAAACTGATGGTGGGTGGAGTCCTCCGCCGGCGTCGGTGTCCAGAAGCAATCAGCTTCTCCCCGGATGCCCGCGGAAGCAATCTGTGCGGAAGGGGAGGCACAGTCACCTGCCCGGCTTGGTACTGAAGGTGGGCCTTGGAGTGGTAACAACCTAAGGCCTTTCTCTGTACTAGTTGGCTCCCCACCATCTGATGCCCTCTTTCTGTCCAGACGCTAGATCCAACCATGGGATCATCATTGTTCACCCCAGTCCGTCACGTCCCTTCAAGGAGGGAGGTGGCAGTGTGCTCGATGAATAAAACCTCCTAAAGCTGCTTCTCAGCCTGTCTGGCCTCAGCTATGAGCGGCTGCCCCGTCATCCTCTACGGTAGGAAGCTGCGGCTAACAGAATCCCAGCGGCTGCTTCCTCTTTCTGACCTTAATTAACTCGCCAGTTCTTGAAAAAGAGTCCCACTGCTCATTCCTCTTGCCCCACATCCTAGGATTCTGTGTTGCCGGGTCAAGTGAAAATCCCTCGACCATACACTTTAGATCCATGTTTGAAATAATGATAAAAATAATAATCCACAGCCCTACCATGTCTCTCCTTTTCTCTAAGAAGTGCAAGAAATGGTGCCTGAAAGCTGTCAGGTTGAGGTTTGCGGGCCGCACAAGATAAGAGGCAGCTGCTCGGACCTCTGTCCCAGGTCAGGGGCTGAGCTGCCCACCTCTGTCAGGGTGATGCCTCTGTGGTAGCTCAGGGACTGGCACCACAGGGCCAGCTGCCTCTGGGGAATTCTGGGCTGGTGGCAGCTTTTAATGCTCTATGAAGGGAGGATTTGCTTCCCCCTTTGAGGATCTGCAGCCCGTGGCCTGGTGCTGAGTCTCTGCTAAAGTCCCGATTCTGCAATTTCAGCCAGTTGACTCAAGAGTCTGCAGAAAGGTGGCCGGTCTTCTGGTTTCTAGAGAGGGAAGAAAAGGACTCTGTGAGTTCCTTGTACTTATGTGTCATAGTTAATTCCAAAGCCACCCAGAATTCAATAGCCCTCTGCTGATTTTTAAATATGCTTCCATATGTATTGTTCGAGGCCATTGTGTCTTAGTTGTTAATAGCAGGGATTCTGGGATCATATGGCCGGTTTTTGAATCTAAGCTTTTCCACTTATTAACTGTGTGACTTTGAGCAGGTTATTTAACTTGTTTGAATGTCAGTTTTGTTGTCTGTAAAATGGGGATAATAAGAGTATCTATCCTCATAAGATGGTTGTGAGAATTAAATAAAACCATGTATTAAAAATACATCATAAAGGGGTGCCTGGGTGGCTCAGTCGGTTAAGTGTCTGCCTTCGGCTCAGGTCATGATCCTGGGGTCCTGGATTGAGTGCAACATCGTGCTCCCTGCTCAGCGGGAAGCCTGTTTCTCCCTCTGCCTGCCACTCCCCCTGCTTGTGCTCGCTCTCTCTCTCTCTGACAAATAAATAAATAAAATCTTTTAAAAAAATACATCATAAAATAAGTACTAAATAACATCAAAAAAGAAAATACTTAGGTATAAATCTCACAAAATATGTATAGGACCTACATTAGGAAAAATACAGAATTTTAAAGAAAGAAATCAGAGACGATCTAAATAAATGGAGACATTTCATATTCAAGGATGGGAAGACTTTATATTATTATTAAGATGTAATTTCTTCTCAACTGGATCTATAGATTCAACACAATCACAATCAGAATCCCAGAAAGTTATTTTGTAGATATTGACAAACTGACTCTGAAGTTTACATGGAAAGGCAGAAGACTCAGAACCAACACAATGCTGAAGAAGAGCAAAGTTGGAGGACTGACACTGCCCAACTTCAAGACTCACTGTGAAGCTAGAGTAATGAAGGCAGTGTGGTATTGGTGAATGAATTAACAAAGAGATCAATGGAACAGAGTTGAGTGCCCAGAAATAGATTCTCACAAATACAGTCAACTGACCTTTGCAAAAGGAGCGAAAGTTATTCAGTGGAGAATGGGTAGTCTTTTCAACAACAGTGCTGGAACAACTGGATGTCCACATGCAGTATAATGACTCTGGACACAGACCTTATACCCTTCACAAAAACTAACTCAGAATGGATCAGAGACCCAAATGTAAAATGCAAAACTTAGAAAACTTCTAGAAGATAATATAGGAGAAAATTACTGGGTTCAGTAATAGGTTTTTAGATACAACACCAAAAGCCTGATTGATAAAAGAAAAAACTGATGTTGAGCTTTGTTAAAATTTAAGATGTCTGCTCTGTAAAAGACACTGTTAAGAGACAGAAAAGACAAACCATAGTCTGGGAGAAAATATTTTCTTTTTTCTTTTTTTTTTTTTAAAGATTTTTTTTTTTTAAGATTTTATTTATTTATTTGACAGAGACAGCGAGAGCAGGAACACAAGCAGGGGGAGAGGGAGAGGGAGAAGCAGGCTTCCCACTGAGCAGGGAGCCCGATGTGGGACTCGATCCCAGGACTCTGGGATCATAACCTGAGCCGAAGGCAGACGCTTAACGACTGAGCCACCCAGGCGCCGGAGAAAATATTTTCAAAACACATATCTGATAAAGGACTTATATCCAAAGTATACAAAGACCTCTTCAAACTCAAAAGCAAGAAAACAAATAATCCAATCAAAAAATGGGCAAAAGATCTCAACAGACACCTCATTAAAGAAGATACACAAATGGCAAATAAACATTTGAAAAGATGTTCCACATCATAGTCATTAGGGAACTGCAAATGAAAACAGTGAGTTACCAATATACACCTATTAGAATGGTTAAAATATAAAACATTTGATAACATTAAATGCTTGTGAGGATGTGGAACAACAGGAATTCTCATTGCTGGTGGGAAATGAAAATGGTACAGCCACTGTTAGAAGAGAGCGTGACAGTTTCTTACAAAGCTAATGTATTGTTATCATATGATCCAGCAATCATACTCCCAGTTGAGCTGAAAATTTATGTTCATACAAAAACCTACACACAGATATTTATAGTAGCTTTGTTCACAATTGCCCAAAACTGCAAGTGATCAAGATGTCCCTCTGTAGGTGAATGAATAGCCAAACTGTGGTACATCCATACAATGGAATACTATTTAGTGATAAAAAGAAATGAGCTATCAAGCCATGAAAGGACATGGAAGAATCTTTTTTTTTTAAGATTTTATTTATTTATTTATTCGAGAGAGAGAGAGAGAAACAGCATGAGAGGGGAGGGGGTCAGAGGGAGAAGCAGGCTCCCCTTGATCCCAGGACTCCAGGATCATGACCTGAGCCAAAGGCAGTCGCTTAACCAACTGGGCCACCCAGGTGCCCAGGACATGGAAGAATCTTAAATGCATAATTAAATGCATAGTTCTAAGTGAAAGAACCCAATCTGAAAAGGCTATGTACCATATGATTCCAACTATATAACACTCTGGGAAAGGTAAAACTTGAACAATAAGAAGATCAATAGTTGCCAGCGTTCTGGGGAGAAGGAGGGAATTGTAAATAAGTGAAACAGTGGATTTTAGGGCAGTGAAACTATTCTGTTTAATGCTATAATGGTATCTCACCCTCTCTTCCTCTCTAACAGTGTGTTGTTGGCTTGTGACATTCTTTTGCAGATCAAATAATATTTAAGGTCGCTGCCAGCTCTTTTAGAGATGGGCAAACTCTTTCATTGGTAGACACTCAAAGCCACTTGCTTGCTAATCTACTTTAGTTACACCTGCTTCCTCATCCTCTAAGAGGGTTTCTTTCTCTACGGAAGGGAACAGACCCTAAAGTTATAGATTACAATGTAGGGGGAAACCACTTCCTTTACTGACCTCTTTCCAGCAATAATTCATGATCTGGTAGATATTCACAGAGGCCAGCCGGGGCTTGTATAAGCGAAATCCAGTAGTGATGTCTTCTACCACTTCTGAGTTGCTTCGGTTTTCATACGGGATTTTGCCTTCACTGAAGACTTCCCACATCAGCACACCTACAAGAAATGGTGAGTGTAGCACAGCGAATGAATAACAAACAAACAAATAAGCCTACATCAAGAAATTGCAGATTCCTTGACATTCAGATTCAAGTCCCTACCTTCAGGGAGGACAATACCAAACCACCCGAGGCTTCCTTAGGCCTGTACTATTTCTAAAGAACAGAGATTTCCCAATCTTCCTAGTGGTGAGGAACTTTCAACTTCAGCCCTTTTTTGTATCTAACTCAAATGTTACTACTAAAAGTTGCAGGGGATGTAAACTCAAATGTCTACACATCATGTAAATGGGTGGAGTGGACGAGATGTGCCATAATGGAGACTAGGGGGACTGTGGAGAACTGGGGGTCAAGTTCTGTCTTCAGAGAATAGCTGTGATTTTGCTCCAGCCACCATAGGGCGCATGGGAATGAGGGTTTGGGATTGCCACATTTTCTGATTTTTTAAAAAGAAGTCATAAATTGAGAGTTTAGAAATAGAAACTCAATTTGATCTTTAAAAATACTGTGTAGACAGAGCAAAAACACATCTCTGGGTTGTCTATTTTTGACCTGTGATTTAATCCCCTTTCCTCTTCTGTCTTTAGCAGAAATGTCACACCCCATTTTATTATGTACTAATATATTCATAGGATGTCAAAGTGGGAAGAGAGCTTGCAGATCACCTATTTCAGTGGTTTTCAAAGCATATTTCAAGGAGTCTTAGGGCAGGATTTTCCAAAGTACGATTCCCAAAACAACTGAATAAAAATCACCTCAGAAGTTTGTTCAAATGGCAGATCCTGGGCCCTGGCCCAGACCTCTGGATCAGGATTTCTAAGGGATCCTCACAGGTGCCTCTGCAGTTTTAGAAACTTGGAGCCTGCCTGTAAATAAGACTGTTTAGCTCCCCAAGTTGCCAGAATTTCTTTAGAAATTGAGATTTCTTTGGAAGTGAGATTTCTTTGGAAAACTGAGGCCTGCTGCCCAAAGCTCTATTTGAAAACATTTGCTTTCATGCAAACCTTGTAATGCATTGATTGGAAACTGAGTAAGGCCCAAAGAGCTTGCTTGACTTGCTTAAAATAGCACAGTTAATTAGGGCAAAAACCTTAAAATGCATGACAAAGTTCAATGGCCTCGAGGCAGGAATCAAGCTCTTAGTCCATCCAAGTTTCTGTTTCTCAGGCTTGCCACTCATGTTATCTCACCCTCTCTACCCTGCTTTCATTAGTCAGTCTCATTTTCGGACACTTCAGGGGGCATATCCTAGGCAGGGATGGACTGTAGCTCAACCCCCTAATTTTATGATGCAACAGAAAATTCCCAAGCTGACAACCTTTGGCAGAATAAGCCTCATGCAGAGTTAGCAGGTGAATGTGACAAAGTGGCCATGGGTACAAACATCTCTGTATGGGATACCGGGCTTGGTGCAGTGTGACCGGTTGCATCACCCATAGAGAGTGGCCACATGTCAGCCATACCTTTCCTCATTATGTACAGACTTGGGAGAAAATAGAATCTTCTGAGATTGCTCTGGTGCAGTTTTATTTCTTCTAAGTTCATTCGGTAACTTAAATTTGAATAACAAAATCTTAGCTGTGTCTGTCAAATAGGGAAGCTGTTTTAAGGAACAGTTCAGAAGAACTAGAAATTTACAAACCACTCGGTTATAGAAGTTGGCTCTTCTAAAATACTGGGGGAAACTTCAGAACTAGTTCCCTGAAGAGATTTAATTAGCTTTTCCCTGGTTTCTACTCTTAAGTCAATACATTTGGCAAAATCAAACTCCAACTCATTCCTTTCCAAAGTATAACCCTTCTTATGGTCCAAATCAAAGAGGTTGTTTGGCATGTCTTTGTGTATAGTTTAGCACACACAAACTATGGCTTCGGAGGATATGACAAATCCAGCAAGAATGGCCAGTACTTTCTGCCACACCAACATCATTCATTCTGCCTTTCATTCATGCCCATTTGCGCTCATCAGAAAGTCTAATTCCTTATCATGAACTGCCAACTTCATTGTCTAATGGTCTCTCACCAAGACAGTACCCCTCTTTTCTTTGGACACACCAAATTTTTAAACTTGCTGGTTTTTTGGTCAGAGACACCAAATCTTCCCTGGATCCTCAAGTGGGGATGACTCTCTCTCATCATTCAGATCAAGGGTCACCTCCTTGGAGAGGCCTCCCAGACCATGCTATTTAGAACGGACTCTCCATCCCAGTCACTTTCTATTCCATTAACTGTTTTGTTTTATTCATAGCACTTACTTACCACTATGTGACTTTGTCTTATGTACATATCTATTATCTTGTTTATGTGATTGTTATCTGTCTCCCCCTAAAATTTGACTCCAAGAGAATAGGAGTCTTTTCTATCCTATGCATTGTAAGCACCTAGATTAACCCTGGCTTATAGTAGAGGCTTGATAAATTGTTGCTGAATAAATGAGTAAAATATTTATTGAGGCGTACGTGCGGGAAAATACTGTTGAACAAAATATGTTTTCAAAGATCTCCAAGAACGAATGCAAAAATGAGGACCTCTTCATAGTTTTCAGAACCATTATCACACACAAGACTATCAGTGGGATGCCCTCACCACCCAGTCCTGGGCAAGTAGAGTTGCCTGGATTTGACAAATAAAACAGCTGCCTGGCAGTCCTTGATCGTGTGGGTGTGGGGCCAGGATGACACTCACCAAATGACCACACATCTGACTTGCTGCTATAGCGGCTGAAGGAGAAGACTTCCGGGGATGCCCACTTCACCGGGAACTTGGTGCCTGTGGAACTGGTGTATTGATCATCGAGGACGAACCTGGGTAGAGAGTGGAGAAAGAATGTCTGAACGTTCTGGGGGCCTGAATCCCATTCCTGAGACTTTCCTGGCGCCACATGCCCATATTACCTTGTCATCCCAAAGTCGGACACCTTGATGACTTGGTTCTCTCCCACTAAACAGTTTCTGGCAGCCTGGAGTGGAGACAGGCAAACAAAAGGGAAAGGAAAACTGGTGGTGGACAATCAGTATAAGGAGTCTCCTATAATCTCAGTTTTTTTGGGTTCCTATGTGCTGCTGTACAAGGGCTTTACAGATGTTAATTAAGCTTCACTAGTGTCCAGAAGTGAGCTCAAAAGTCAAATGTGTGATCCTTTATCAGGATGAGTAAGTTTGGTCTTTTAGCTTCATTCCTGAGATCCTAATTAGAAGAGAAATCTGTGGTGTTGTCTAACCAACGAAGTGCTCTAATGCGACTTGATGCAATAGGAAATGTTAACATTAGGGATGATATGAAGAGACTGTCACCCATTTGACTAAAATAAGAATGTTTTGAGGTTACTAATCCTCTTAAGACTACTCCTCAATAGGAAGAGTACCTAGTCCCTAATTAGTATCACAGAATTGTGCACTGGAAGAGCCCTTAGTGATAAAAGACCCCACTCTTTTTTCACATTTGAAATGTGCCTTCAAATCCCAAGGGGATATGTTAAAATGAATATCCTGACCTCTGACCTCCAGAGATTCTGAGGACGGTTTTAGCATCACTCCAATGTGATTGTGGTAAATCCTTGGATAACAGTTTGAGAAAAACTGTGCTTGTCCATTTCCCTCACTTTACCAAGAGGAAACCGAGGCACAGAGAGGTTAAGGAGAGGCCATAAGCTTCATTTTGGAAAAATGTAAACTCAGACTCAGAGGGTACAAGTCAGAAACAAGGCTGGGATTAGAGCCCAGATCTGAGTCTTACTAGGACATCGCCTAGTGGGTGGAAGAAGAAAGAATTTGAGAGTGGGAGGGAGATGGTCTGTGACTTGTTATTTATCAACGTATTCCCAGTCTGGGTAGCTCCACATTTCAGTGGGACATAGCCCTTCATCCCAGACCTACAGATGTTGGCCCTGCATGCTCTTACCAGGTCTCTGTGGATGACACATGCCTCCTCCAGGTACGCCATGCCCTCACACACGTCCAGGCACATGCCCAGCAGGGTTTCTGCAGCAAAGAGTCCCCGCTGGCTGCGCAGGTAATCCGACAGGCAGCCGTGCTCCATGAACTCGAACACCAGGCAGATGGGAGCCTGCTCTAGGCACACCCCATACAGCTGGACCAGTTTGGGGTGAGAGAGTTTCCTGGAGGAAAAAGGCAAGGGATGAGATGGTCTAAATTCAGTCTCCCCAAAATGCACTCCCTCTCCAAAACAAAAACAACCTGAAGGATGGTGAGAAGTCAGATGGTATGTGCGAGGATGAATGGAGGCCGGTGTGGCTGGTGCATTGTGGACCAGAGGAGAGATGGGGAGGGGATGAGACTGGGGAGCAGACAGGGCAAGACCATGACAGGCCTTGTAGACCATGGTGAGGAGTTTGATTTTATTCTCCATGCCCCTGGAAACCATCACTAGATTTGAGGAGCAAGGTGGCGAACATGGCATCAAATGGTATGTAAAGAACAGCACAGAATATCCTCCCCAAGACACCTTTGCATACTCTTGTTTTGGCTACTCACATCATGACTTCAGCCTCCTCTATGAAGTCCTCTTCTGACATAGCCCCTTCCTGAATGGTTTTGATGGCCACCTTGTCCTTGTTGAGCCAGTAGCCAAGATGCACCAACCCAAACTGCCCACTGCCAATCTCCTGCACAAAAGTGAGCTCTGAGGGATCAATCACCCATTTCCCTGGAAAAGAGAGAGAGAGGGTCTTCCAGGGGTGGCAAGCAGTAGATATGAGGTATAGGGCTACAAGGAGACTACATATAGCCCTAGATAGCTTGTTACTTTATTGTTAATATAACTCAAAGATGGCAAATAGTATAAGCTTTAGGTAAATGGGTAAAATTATTATCTTCCCCCCAAATAATAACGCAGTATATGCATTTAAAACCACGAAAAATGTATGTGGGGGGAGATTATATGGAAGGAGGAAGGAAAGTGGCATTAATCAAGATATCAAAGAAAATAAATGAAAGGGTTCTTGTAATGTCTCAACTATTTTCTATTCCTGATTGAAAATATTTTATTGCCATTTTTCACACAGAGCGAATTTCATTTGAGCTGATCATTCATTCATTCATTCATTTATCCACCAAGTGCCTCCACAGCACTCTGTTTGGCCATAGCAGGGGCTGGGAGTAAGGATCCCAAGGGGTCTGGTACAGAGGTACCCGGCAGCACAGTCTGGTACATGGCAGGCTCTCAAAAAATGCACAGTAAATGAATAAAAGGAATCTGGTTCTCAATTTTTACATTGACAAGATGAGCGGGTTCATAAAATAATCTCTGAGATCCCATCCAGCATGGATATGTTAAGATTCTATAGTTATTAGAATTACCCTAGTTTTATCAGGAGGCTAAAGAGGCATTACCCTTTCCTGGCACTTGGCTCTAGTACCATGAACAGCTCAATTTCTATGTCTTTGAGTCAACAGAAAAGAGTGCTGAGTTCCTGTTGTGTAACAGATATGGTGCTAGTTAGGGATGGAGGGCCCATGGCAATGTTTCTCAAAGTATGGCTCTCTAATCACCTGTGGCAAAATCACCTAGAGCATTTGTTTAAAATGCAGACTCCAGGATTCCATGACCAGGGACTGTGTTTTGGTAAGTGTTAGGTAGGTAGTGTCCAGGAGCCAACATTCTTTTTCTTTTCTTTTTAAGATTTATTTATTTTGGGGGGGAAGGGGGGGCAGTGGAGAGACAGTCTTAGGCAGACTCTGCGCTGAGCACAGAGCCTGATGTGGGGCTTGATCTCACGATCCTGAGATCATAACCTGAGCCGAAATCAAGAGTTGGACGCTTAACTGACAGTGTCACCCAGGTGCCCCCAGGAGCCAACACTATTACTAAGCATCCCAGATGACTTAGATATACTCTGGAGTCTGAGAACCACCCATCTAGGAGACACAAAATGAAAATTACTCCAGCCTTCTCCTCGACCAGCACAGTTTAAACCAGGGGATGGAAACTCAAATGCCTTTATGTTCCAGGCAGATAATGAAAAATGAGGGTTGCAGTTCCAAAGGATAATAGGAAGAAACAGGGCTTGTGGCGCTGGAGATGCAAGCTTTGCCTAAAGGCACTGAAAAAAAATTAACACCATGTTATGCAGACAAACACTCCTGAATGCTTCCAGCTTCCAGCCCTTGGAATGGAGCATACCCAGCAAACTAGATGATGCGGAAGTTCTAGAAGATGGGTGGGAATATGGTCCGAAGGCATTATTTTCTCATATTATTTTCCAATAGCATTTAGTAGAGTGCTGTGTACAGAGTAGGTATTCAATAAACATTTCATTGATGAACTCTTAAGTAAAACCAACGGACACTGATTTGACATGGATAAATGTGCTCATATACACATCTCTCTTACACACTTTGTAAATATTCCTTTGTGCACATCATCTCCAGATATATGGTGGACCTGTTGTAATGGTTATTTTAAGTCTGGGGAAGCATTAGGTCCATGGGAAGTCCATTCAGAATTTGCCCCAGACCTTTAGGGATGTGCCAATACGAAACATTGCTGACTGCACTGCTCACCATATCTCAGTCCTGCTGTGACCGGGGCTTTCTGCCTCCAGGAACAAACTGGATACCGGAGTCTAGTGACCAGACCTGGGTTGATTAAAAAGTGAAAGGCAGTAGTTATTGCTTTACTGTAGCAACTGTTCAAGTTACATCACCAGCAAAAATATAATCCAATGCAAAAGCTATTTTTATTCTGGAAAACAAATCCCAAAGCCCAGTCACTGATATTACACCCCCTCCAACAAGAGTGATAAATACAGATGGGCAGGTGGTGAAATCCCATGAGTCTAAAAACAGAATTTGCTAATGGGAAATATGTAATATGATCAAATATTTGGCATCCTTTTCTATTTGGAGATTTAGTTATTATTTATGGTCAGCTTGTCTGGGATGAAGAAACCCGGCGGGGTGGTTGTCATTTTTCTCCAAGTTCCCCTGCGAGGGTTCCCCTCTGGCCTCATCCTTTAGATCTCACCTCCTCCATTATGTTGGTGATAATTGATGAGGAGAGGGATGGAGTCAAACACATACTTCTCAGCCACGTAGTATCGCTTGGGGTTGTCATTTGTTTCTTTGATGTGATAGTGCTTTATACAGGGGTTGTTCTCACTGAAACAAATGAAACATATATGCAGTGATTATTAACAAGCAATATTTAGACACAAAAATGTCTACTGGTATCAGATTCCTATTAGCTTTGTTTTTTTACCCTCTCAGAAGGATGGCAGGTATATTTCAACTCGTGTGTCAGTCTTGACAGGGTGGCCCTGGGGGCTGAAGTAAGGAGGACTCTGAGGCTGCATTTAGACCCAATTAGAATCAGTGCCATGATGGGTTGGTGATGCTTCTTCTATGGCCATGAAGTGGGGAATGGTCTTGTGTGTGCTCCATGCTTGCCTCCTCTGCTGTGTGGATTTCACTGTCAGCAGACGATAAGGGAGCACTCTGGACCCTTAGTACTATGTGACTTTTCAGAGCAAAGAGTTAACATAGCAGCTCTGAATGCTCTCTTTAGAAAGGCCTGCTTGATGGGGCGCCTGGGTGGCTCAGTTGGTTGAGCAACTGCCTTCGGCTCAGGTCATGATCCTGGAGTCCCGGGATCGAGTCCCGCATCGGGCTCCCTGCTCGGCAGGGAGTCTGCTTCTCCTTCTGACCCTCCCCCCTCTCATGTGCTCTCTCTCATTCTCTCTCTCTCAAATAAATAAATAAAATCTTTAAAAAAAAAAAAAAAAGAAAGAAAGGCCTGCTTGAAAGGCTGCCCCATGGCTGGCATCTGAGAATTTGGATTTTGGGAGGGCTCTCACCATTCTCTAACTGATAAGGATGGCTCCCTGTTCCTAAATTGTTTGTATAGCATTGTGGTTTATGTTCAATGCCTGCTTTTCTTCTGGGACTCTGGAATTTTGCTGTATGCTAGGCAGAGGATGCCTAGGTGACCAGCCCCCAGTGAAAACCTTAGGCACTGAGTCTCTCATGAGCTTCCCTGGTAGACACCATTTTACCCCTGTTGTCAAAGCTTATTGCTGGAGGAATTAAGCACGTCCTGTATGACTTCCCTGGGAGAGGACTCTTGGAAGCTCCATGTTTGGCCTCCTCTGGATTTTGCACCATGTGTTTTTTCCCTTTGATGTTTTTGCTTTGTACTCTTACACTACGATAAATCTTAACCTTGAGTGTGACTGACTATATGCTGAGTCCTGTGAGTCTTCATAGTGGATCACTGAACCTGGAGGTGGTCTTGAACACCCTCAGCATAAACTTTATTTCTCATTCCTTCTCCATAATATCTTATGGAGCTGCAGGTCACTGTCCTGACTGTCCCCAGCCGTGGAAGAGGCACGGCCCCTCTGTGATGTGCATCTTCTTTCCCATCCCTGGGCAGCACCCTTCTTCTCCATCACCCGTCTAGACCCTGCTCTTGCTCTGAGTCTTGCCCATGTCCTCATTCACCAAGAAGTGTTCCCTGAGGACACCTTCATCATTCTTTTTCTCTTTTCTCTTAATTCTTACTGGAACTTGCTCATTGCCAAACTGCTTTGTTCTTACTTATTTTTTAATTAGAAGAGAATCTGAGACCCAGATAGGTTCTTAGACATTTGTTTTACTGAGCAGGAAACTGAGGTACAGAGAGGGGCAGACAAGCAGGGTCTTGCAGTCAGCCAGCTGGAGCATGACGGTGGCTTGACCACTTGAGCTCTATTGCCTCAGGGAGGTGCCATCAGCTCTTTGAGCCTTGTTTTTTCCTATGTGGAAGGAGCATAGTAACTCCTGCCTTCAGAGCTTGTGAGGATCAGAAACAGTCTGTAACATTCTGGCACATGGTAAGGACTCAGTAAATGGTAGGTAGCTTTATTAGCCGAGCCAGAACTAAAACATCTATCTTCGCACTTTTGGTTGAAAGTATCTTCTCTGTTAGCTGTGGGTTAAATTACAAATCATCAACTGCAGCTCAAGAATTTTTTCTTTAGAGCTCTGCACTCGGGGGTGCTAACTTAGATGACAACCTGGCGTCTGGACCCAGCTCTGTTACTTTCCAGCGAAATGACTTCAGTTATGTCCTTCATCTTCCTGGCCTTGGTTTGCTCAGAGGGATCAGGGAAAGCACACCATTTCTAGCAACCCCGCTGCCTCTTGCACCGTCTGAGGTTGCTGTGTGTCTCTCCCCACTTTGCAGAGCTGACTTAGCACCATACCTTACGATGGCTTTGGTGAAAACAGACACGGTGTATGTTCCCGGGGTCCTGGAATCTCGTACCATGAAGGCTCCTTCTTTGCCCTGGAGTGGTTAGAAAACACAGAGGGTTAGTGATCCCAGGAAACCAGCCTCATGCCTCCAGCTCCACTTGCTTGTCTGCAAAAGGAGGAGAGACAAGAGGCCAGCTTTGCACAAAGCAGATGTTCTGCAATAATGGCTACCATTTCATTTGTTCATTCAACAGATATTTCCCGATGTCCTACCATAGATCAGAGACTTCTGGTGATGACGCGTAAGCAGGGAATAAAGACAGATAAATATAAGCTCTGCCCTTTTGGGGGTCCCCATGTACCAGGCTCCTTACAGATGTTATCCAACCCTCACTACAACACGGCAATCTAGATTTGGTATCCTCAGTTTACTGACGAGGATGCTGAGTGCCACGGAGCTGAAGTGACTGTCTCGCAATCCACAATTAGTAAGTGGCAGACCTGGGCTTTGAACCTTGAATGTGGCATGAGAGCAAAGCCCACGTTCCTTCCACTGCTCCATGATATCTCCTCTCAACACATGTTAGAAGCCAGTTCTCCATTCCCCTCCAAGGGCACAGAGCTTTCTGATCTTGAAGCTTCATCAGTTCCTTAATGGGAATGTATGTATTAGGCCCTTTCTAGAGTGCTGATTTTGCTGTGGGCAAAAGGAGAAAAAAATAACAAACAAACATGAAGTTCCTGGTCTCATGCGGGAAGTGGAAAAAGGGAAAGCCCCAAGAATGTACTTTGGGCACACCCTTCCCTCAGCAGTTTTGCCCGCGCTGATGGAAAAAGTACAAGCAAATGCATATGCCAATGTATTCAGGCCTCGTGGGAACTTCAAAATCTGGACTCCGCTTTGAGTACTTCCTGTCTAGCGCTCTGTTCCTACCCAACTGTAAATCCATGCCGGTAATATTTTCAAAACCTATTATTTACTTAACTTCAACATGGTGAGGGCTGCAAGTGAAGGCCAGTGAAACACATGAGCCTCATGTGTGAACCACAGATACCGGTAGCATATGGGGCAAAGGGTATACAATTTGGAACAACGTGAGCCCCTCCATCTCCCAGCCCCCAAAGTGGGTTGTCTACGCACAATGAAAACAATACACACGGATGCCCATGCTAATTGTTTGACTCCTCGAATCCCAGCGGGGTTAGCAGCATCCCTGGCCTCTGTCAGCTGGATGCGAGACCCTGTCAAGTGTTCGCTGGGGAGAAAAAATCACCCCGTTGAGAACTATGGATCTGGCCTAACTCCCTACAACCCTGTGTCCCACACTTTGTTGATTATCACGATCACCTGAAGAAACTGAAGCACGGAACAAGACAAAACAAAAAAACCCAAACCAACAAACAGTTAACAGTGCTTCACCCCTTACCTATACACTTAGAATCTGTAGGACTGGCACCCTGGTTCCCGAGCTTTTTAGAAGCTTGCCATGTGATTCTTATAGACATCCAGGTTTGGTCTCCGTTGACTCAACTGAACATGTAGCTCTTACTTATAATTGTCCTGACTAGTAGTTTCTCTCTCTCAAAACAGCATTACATGTTAGAAAACTTGCCCAGATATATAACCTGCTACCTCTAACTTGGCCCTAAACCTGCAGGGGTGTGTATGTTGGGAGCAGGGGGCGGGGGGTGGCTGGGGACAACTGGCCCTTATATCATTGTGCATTCTTGTCAAACCTATAATTTACCACATAAATGTGAAACACTCCAAACTCTTCTTACCTCTTCTGGGACTTCAAGGATCTATTTTGAAAATCGGAGGGGGGTGGAAGGTGGGGGAATTGCATGAAGGTGGACAAAAGGTATACATTTCCAGTTATAAGGTAAGTAAGACCTGGGAAGTAAGGTCCAGCCTGATGACAATAATTAACAGTATTGTGTTTTCTATTTGAAAGTTGCTAAGAGAAAAAAAAAAAAAAAGAAAGTTGCTAAGAGAGTAGATCTTAGACATTCTCATCACAGGAGAAAACAATCTGTAACTATGTGTAGTGATGGATATTAATAAAACTTACTGTATTAATCATTTTGCAATATATATATCAATATACATATTATAATATATATAATTATTATTACAAATTATTACAATTGTACACATTAAACTTATAAAATGCGACATGTCAGTTATATCGCAATAAAACTGGGGCAAGAAAAGAAATCGAAGCTAAGACATGAATCTTCAGGCCCCTATTGCTTAGACATGCTCTTCCTACCCCAAGGCTGTGAGTTTGGGCTGCTCGGGCTGCTGCCTGAAAACAGGGGAAGAATTGAGGGAAATGCAGAACCATGTTTCTTTTTCTAAGATATCCTCAGACAGTCCTAGTATTCTTGGTTCACATAGAATTTATTTTAGTAATTTTTTTTAAAGATTTTATTTATTTATTTGACAGAGAGAGACACAGCGAGAGAGGGAACACAAGCAGGGGGAGTGGGAGAGGGAGAAGCAGGCTCCCTGCCGAGCAGGGAGCCCGACGCGGGGCTCAATCCCAGGACACTGGGATCATGACCTGAGCCGAAGGCAGACGCTTAACTGACTGAGCCACCCAGGCACCCCTATTTTAGTAATTTTTATTTCATGATTTTCTTTTAAATTTAAGAAATCCTTTATAATCTTTCTTGAGCAGTATATGATCTTGAGCCTATAGTTAGCATCCCACATTACCCACAATGTGTTCTGTGCAGAATCTTGGACATGGTGAGGACAGAAGAGTGCTAAACAGAGTCTTATTTTCCTTTTCTCAGATATAAATGTAAACCATTTATCCAGTGAAATATTAAAGTCTCTTTTAACATTTGCTTACAAATCCTCCTTTTAAAAACGTGATTTTTCCAAGCGTTAGAGTTTTTTCCCCTTTGGGGTCAGTAGTTTATTTAATTTCTAAAGTAAAGGTGATCTTTATGACATCAAAAATCCCAGATTCGTTCATTTGATTTTAAAATAGCTTTTGAAGCATAATTTACATACCATGAAATTCTCCCAGTTCAAATATACAATCCAGTAATTTTTAGTAAATTTATAGAGTTGTGCAACTCAATCTGATTTTAGAACATTTCCATTACTCCCCAAGTATACCTCTATTTTATTTGCACACCTGCCACACTAATATGCTTTCTGTCTCTATAGATTTGCCTATTCTAGACATTTTAGGCAAATGAAATAATATAATAGGTGGTCTTTTGTGCCTGGCTCCTTTCACTTGGCATATTGTTTTCAAGATTTATCCAAGTTGTAGTGTGTATCAGTACTTCGTTCCTTTTTATGGCTGAATAATATTCCATCATATGACCATACCACATTTTGTTTATCCATTCATTAATGGATGGGCATTGGGCTGTTTCCACCTTGTGGCTACTGTGAATAGTGAATCAGTGTCTGGCTTCTTTTGCTCAACATCACCTTTGTGATACTCATCCATGCATTACATGTAGCACAGTTTGTCTTCAGAGATTTTCCCCTTTTCCAAATATTGAAGCTTTTGCTCTTGCCTCATTGGAATGTGATGGGTTAAACTCAAGGCAGGAAGAAACAAAACTTCAGCAGAGGAAGATTTTATCTGCCTATCTAAGTTATTCTAAAAGGGGAAGAAATAGACCAAAAAAAAAACCACCAAAAACCCCCACAACAACAACAAAACAAACCCAGAAGTTTATCAAGTGTCTATAAAGAGGGGCGTGCAAACATCTCTTCTATTTAATTAGGAATGTTTTATTGTTGTTCTTATTCTTCCAAAGAAGCCGTTATTGTTGTTATTTTTTAAAACTGTAATCAGAGTGGGGCCCAACTGTTAACGAGAGTAATCCACAGACGTGAGAGATAGGGGAGGTAAGGTTTTCAGTCAGCTCGGCTGAGCATGGGAGGCTCAGAGCTCTTCCCCCACCATCGTTGCTCTAAGTAACATTCAGTGAGGGTGACAGGAAACTCTGGTCTGGGGCTGAGGCAGTCTAGAGTTCTGAGGAAAACGAGGCATCCAGCATGTGTGTTACCGCCTACTTCCTGTAAGGGGCTCAGAGGAAGTCACAACCACCAAGAACACTGGAGCTTAAAGGGTCTTTGCTCACATCACTGCCATGCAAAGGGGCACTGACTTACACAATGGAGCAGAAGGGTGGCCCCCATTCCTTGAGACATTTTCAAGGTCTTAGTTTACCTTTTACTAATTTACCTAGAAAAATAAAGAGGCAACACTAGGGAAAAAAAAGTCATGGAGGTGGTGAAATATATGGATGGGAATTATGGGGACGGGAGAGTAGAACTTAACTCATATATTCCCTTATTAACCGTGTGTGTGCATGCACCTGAGCGTACGTGTATGTATGCACCCCTCCTCTAGCCCAGAACTATGCCACTGATTCACTCTGAACTTGGCCTCAGTTTACTCTTCCATAACACAGATGTTCTTTAAAGGGAGTTCTTATTTTACCAGCCTCTAATTCTGTGAATTCCAGGTATTTCCTGATTAAATGTATGAGCTTCAGTTTCCTCATCTGCAAAATGTAAGGTTGTTGGGAGAATTAAAGCACATAGAAGATTTCCTGGAATCTACCAGAACAAGGACCGTTAGGGCTGTCACTAGCCATTATTGTCACATGCTATGGTATACCATCTGTTGGAAGTATTAATTCCACTGTCTGCCTTTATCTGAGATATGCTGACATATTAGGAGTATATTTCCTTCTTTCTGCCCATAGGATTTAAAGGTGAATTTACAGAAGGTAATCTCAACACACAGGGTAGGTTACTGCGAAAGACAGACTGATAATTCATAGCCTTGTCATGTGGCATTACACTTCAGGAGAATGTCTCTGACACATTCAGGAGCTGGTTGTTTTCTTCTCTTGAAACAAATCCATTATTAAGTCAACACTGCATCTTTAATGACATCTTTGAATCATAGAAATACGATAAACCAATGCCTTGGAGTAAGGCTCCTGCCTAAAATTCAGGTCACCCAACGTGTGCGATGCTGTAAGGTAAGGAATAGCTGCTCACAAGGAATTTACCCTCTACCTCAATGGGTTAAGACAGAAGAGAAACTCCTGAGGCCTGAGGCAGAGTGGGAACAGTGTCACTGGAGAAATAATGACATTGCACCATTCCAAGGCCAGGCCACCACATTCCATGGCCAGAGAGAGGGAAAGCATGAGAGGCTTCTCAGAGGTAGTGTTATCTGATAAATTGATAGGATGATGTAGGAGATGCTTTACTGCAGTTCCCAAACTTGGGTAAGTCCCAGAATCACCTGGGTGCCACCTCCAGAGCTTCCACCTGGTGAGGGCTGGAGTTTGGAATTTGTATTTTTAAAAAGATCCCCCAATGATGCTCATGATCAGCCAGGTTCTCTTTAAGCATGGTTGTTAATTTAAAAACATTTATGAAGCATTTGATGTATTCATTCACTCAACAACTACTTATTGAGGAACTGCCTTGTCATAAATCCAGTTTGGGATTCTAGGTGTAGCAGGAAGATAAAGCCTTTATATTCTAGTGGAGAACTATGGATGGGACAGTACTGTCAGGAGGTCTAGTTAATAAAAATGCATCAATCCACCCCTTCAGTGTCCTCTACTTGTTAGATAAAGAGATTGTAAACACACCCAGGAAACAATTCTGCTTTTGTTTCAAGCAGAGGACAATACAGGGACTCACTGAAGTTTGCCCTTATATTACCGAAGGCGGCAAAGAGGATTTGGTCAAGTCGTTCAGAATATGAGCAGGAAGGAGTGTTTCAACTGCCCCAGCAAGCAAAACGTATTTAAGTGTCTCCAAAGTAATCCCATAAAACAGGAAACCACTTCAGCTTGTCATTCATGTGGACTGTTTCAAGTGCGCCGTGGGTAACACTTCATCAACCAATGTGTGATTGAAAAGAACAAAACTGCACTTATTTAAACATTATAATTCAAGTTTTTAATTAATTTTGCAATCCTCTCAGTTCTCATCGGTCAGGTTTTACTATGCTATCCAATTACATAGGTTGGGGAACTAGGAGCGGAGCCAACTGCCCAGGCATCACAAGTTTAACTTGAAAAAATACAGATTCCCAGGAACTAACTGGAGATTCTGATTCTAGGTCTGGGGCAGGGCCCATGGGGAATCTGGATTTTTAAGTTTCCCAGTGAGTCTAATGCATGGTCTCCTGGGGACCACAGGAAATGTTTAAGTGCTGAGTTGATGTGCGACCAAGGAAAAACCAGGGTCCAGTCATGACTCAGCTCAATTCCTCTTCCTCCCACGAGATGTGACTCCTTAGAATCTTCTCTGAGCTCCGAGGTCACAAACTGGAGAGTTTGCCTTGTTTCCCAGTAGAGTCTAAAGCTTACTGAGGTCAAAGATCCTGTCTCAAGTACCCCTAAGGGCTTCATCCTGTGCTCAGCAAAATGGTAAGGTACTCGAGTTCCTAGTCAGCAAGCGTGATGAAGGAAATGGTGCACACACACTGTAGCTGAGGCGGCTGCTAACAGAGACGGCGGCCAGAACTCAGGCTGCTTCTGATGCATCCCTCCCTGGTAAGCAGCGTCTTTTGGGAAATCCATAAACCACCGAACTTGCTCTCTTTGATGAGATCAAGCTGCCCAAGGGCAGAACATCTCACCTTGTCCTCTATGCTAGCTGCTTGCTAATTGGCAACTTACCTGCAGAAGATGGAGTTCACTGCTCCCAGTATGACTGTGGGTTTTCCTTCTCCCCCCCCTTTTCCTCTTTTAGAAATTCTATTTTTGCCTTAGATGGAATGAATCAATCTGTTACCAGTTTCCCTTTCTACAAAAGTACATAGCATGCTAATAATTAACTGTATGCCTTTAAATTATTCTTTGACAATATTCATCAACCCTCCACAGTGGCTCATTCCTAACCACTGTGCAAATAGTGGCCACCATGTTGGGTGACCAGCTGTCCCGGTTTGCCCAGGACTGAGTGGGCTGGGGATTCCTGAACACAGGACTCTCAGTTTTAAAACTGGGACAGTCCCAGGCAAACCAAGATGAGTTGGTCACCCCACCCGCATTCCGTGCAGGAAAGATTTGCAATTTAATTTAAAATTCTTAAAGATAGGGTGTCTGGGTTGCTCAGCTAGTTAAGCGTCTGCCTTCGGCTCAGGTCATGATCCCAGGGTCCTGAGACTGAGTTTCCTGCTTCTCCCTCTCCCTCTGCCTGTTGCTCCCCCTGCTCGTGCTTGCTCTCTCCCACTCCCTCTCTCTCTCTCTCTCAAATAAATAAGTAAAATCTTTTAAAAAATAAAATTCTTAAAGATAGGAAAACCTTCAGACCCAAACTGAGAAATGTTATATGGTGAAATGGCAGGAATAGGGTTGACATTTTGGCACAGGGAGATTAATGCTTCCATCAACTCATACCAACGGTTTACTGGTGTCACCGGTGAGGCTAGTGTTGGGTACAGGTCATTAACATCATCTGAATATTAGATGCACCTGGAGAGATTTTTCTCTGAATTACTAATGCCTAGATCCTACCAACTAGATATTCTGATTTAATTAATCTGGGGTGGGGCTTGGGCACAGGTATTTTTAAAAATGTTTCCCAGGGAATTCTAGTGTGCAAACAGGTCTGAGAACAACTGCTCTAAGCATATATGCTGGTAAATTCATTGATTGCTCTGTGGAAGACTTTTTCTCCATAACTCCATGCATTTGGTTTCTCTGAAAGAGCCGTCAGTGTGCAATTTTTCAGTGCTACTCAAAGTGTGGTCTGTGGGTGGGCGCCAGATGGCAAATTGTTGCTGGTCCATCACCAAACAAAAAGAGAAATCGAGAGTAGGCATTTAGAAATTTTTCATAGCAATCAGAGTAATTTTATGTCTAATGAATCTAAAGCTAATAAAAAAATTGAACTTGAATTTTTTGTGTCTTTGCTTCTTTATTTTTTCTAGTAGTTTATTTTTATTTCTTTTATAAAATGTAAGTCTGTGACAAATTAGAAATTGAAAACCAACCACAAAAATGTGATCCATCAACACAGACATTTGAGAGGCACTGTCCTAGAATAACAAATGACCCTCTGGTCCAGGCAGAGAGGGTTCACCTTGAGTGCCAATCACCTGATGGTGGCTGCCTGCAGCCCCATGTTTGAGAAGGATCCCAAAGCCATGGACCATGATCAACTCTCTCACATAAGATCAGGAGCAAAGGATGACAGCATGAGTATTGGGTAACTGTCATTGCTGATTTAATCCAACGCTCATCCTGTACTCATTGAGAAACTAAGGTCCAGGAAGAAGAAACATCCCCCAAATCACCCACTGTGTTGGTGAGAGAGCAGGGACTGGGACCTGTACTTTCCCCACTGCACCCTGCTTTCTCTCTTCTCATCCCTCTCTCCCTTTATTCTGACATCCCTGGGCAAGATCAGTCCTGCTACTTATACTGCATGGCTGTTGAGAACCGCTGCATGAAAAATAAGTTAAAACAAGTGATGTATTTCTTCTGGACACACAACCCAACCAAGTAGTATCTAAGTCACACTCACCCCTGAGTGAGAAGCAGGCAAGGCAACTAGCCCCATGGCCCCCCGGGGTCAGCCATCCTGGCCAGAAAGGCCATGATACCTGTTGTGACAGTTGCACGTCAGTACCAAGGCCTTGAACCCTCACTGGGTTTCTTACCCTATTATATGCTAGTTTCTATAAATCCCCAGAATATTTCCACTGGACATGAAAACCAGTGTAATCCAGTATGCCGGCTTACTGCATTGGCATAAATGATAGCATGGCTGGAAAAAAGAGCAAAATTCATTTTATTTTAAGTCAAAAGGTAGGTTAAAGGAGACTTACTGTGTCCAAAAGAAGTTTTTCAGCTTTGTCTCGGCTGATACTCTTATTGTACCACCTGAAAGCAGGAAAAAGTCATATGTCAATGACAGTTAAAAAATTTTTATTATTTACTTGTAAAAGATAATGCTAGAAAATGATTTGGTCTTTTTCTGTCTGTACCAGTGCCTTCCAACTTAAAAACAAAGGCATGAACCATTTCCAGGTAATAAAATGTTTAATTGGAAGGGAACAAAGGAATCAGAATTGGTAAAGTGTCAATAATTTTTGAAGCTGGGTTTTGGGTATATGGAGGTTTATTATATTATTCTCCTTACTTTTGTGCAAGTTGGAAATTTTCCATAATAAAATTTTAGAAAACCTTCATCTTCTCCATTTCATAAGTCAGTGGGTGGTTTTGAGTAGGATGATGCTAGGACAGCTATAAAAACTGATCACAAATTTGAAAGTTTAGGCTTGTAAAGCAATTGCAGTATTTTCCTCTTTTAGATTGGTTTTCAAGATCTTCTGCAAAATGATTATATTATTTTTATAATTTTGGGGTCTGGTGAAAAAAAACCCTAAAAAGTGGTAAGAAGAATATGAGTGATTTTTAGAGGTGAGGTTTTTGAATGTTGCTGGTAACACTTGAGCCACATCCTGGGTTCCCTGGCTACTTATTAGATAAGAGGAGTTAGAAGGATCATCAGTTAACAATCAGTTTTAGGAAAGTATAAACCCCAGAGGAGAGAAGTTCCGGGTGGGGAAGGAACATTACTCATCAAACTCGTGTGGCTATTAGAAAGTAGCTACAAATAAGGGAATTAATGGAGCCACCTGAACTTTTGAACATCATGTAACTGAGTGGTACTTTATACCGCAGTGGGCTCTTGTAACTTATCTAGCTGAGGGATGGCAAATAGGCTTCATCTCATGTGCAAGCTCTGGTCAATTAGTCGTAGCTGCCTAAAGCTGTGCACCTGAGCTCAGTAGGTAAGTGTGTCATGATCTAAGAGTGATGTCTACCCTGAGTTCAGGAATGGGGAGGGAATGCCAGCTAGAGTTCCTCCTTCAACTTGTCTGACCCTTCATTTTAAGGGAAAGGGATCTGAGATCCAGCCTGGTGAGGAAATTCGCCCAAGGTTATGCCCCCAAATCAGGGCAGGAGACCTGAAGCCAATCATTGGATGTACCAAACCATGATTATGCTCCCAGATGGTACATTTTTGAGTTCTTATGCAGATGTCACCTGAAACTAGACAATACTAAGTTCAAGGATAAAAAATCATCATATTGGGTATTTTATATATATATATACTTATATATATATATATAAGTATATATAAAGTCTGGATGTTTGCTTGTGAGTCATTTTATTCTCTAGCTGTGATCCCATAATCTGAAAATGCAAACCGACAGTATGTAGAATAAATAGGGCTCACAGACTGTTTTGCTTATATGGTCTAGTGTTTTGTTTTGTTCTGTTTTGTTTATGAACTAAAATACCTTCGGGGGGGGGGGGAATACACTTTTTTATTTGCCTCAGGCTCCACCATTCTCTAGTGCTTTATACTCTGCTGGAATTTTGAGTTTGTTCCCTCTATCATGAATGACGAGATTCTGATTAAAAGCAAAAACAAAACTTCCCAGCCTAATGATCATTTGAAATAAATGCCTATTTTTTTCCCTAAAGGCATTGGCTATAAAAAAATGAAAGGATTTTATTTAAGCATATTTCCTACATGTTTCATTGCAGCTCAAGTATTCTTGGAACTGATGACTCTTCTGTTAGCTGAGGGAGGGGCTACTCACACATACTTGATCAAAGCCAGTCTCAGGTTGAGAGACTCTTCAGAAAATGGTAGCTCTTCACTACAGAGTCTATTAGAATTTCAGCAACAAATAACTTGACCACATTTGAACTAATAAGAGCCCAAATGAGTTAACAGAAGTCTTCATTAGCTAATATTCTTCAACCCTGGTATCTTACATTTGGAGAGGACTTAAACATTTTTCATTTTTAAATAATTTCAAATGTATAGAAAAGTTATAAAATACTATTAAAGAACTCCCATATACACTTGACCCAGATGAACTAATTTCTGACATTTTACGTATTTGCTTTACCATTCCCTCTGAATATATATATATATATATTTTCCAAACCATTTGAGAATAGACTTTTACTCCTAAGTACTTCAATATGTATTTCTTTTTTTTTTTTTTAAGATTTTATTTATTTGTCAGAGAGAGAGAGAGAGAGAACAAGCAGGGGGAGCGGCAGGCAGAGGGAGAGGGAGCTCAATCCCAGGACCCTGGGATCATGACCTGAGCCGAAGGCAGACGCTTAAAGGCTGAGCCACCCAGGAGCCCCTTCAGTATGTATTTCTAAGAAATAGAATATATACTTATATACCTATATAAAAATGGTACAATTACCAAAATCAGGAAATTTAACATTGATGCAATACTATTATCTAATTTCAGACTTTATTCAAATTTCATCGGTTGTCCCAATGATGTGTTTTGTCATTTTTTTTTTTTTTTTTTAGAGAGGGAGAGAGAGAGAGGTGGGGGGAAGGGGCAAAAGGAGAGGGAGAAAGAGAATCTTAAGCAGGTTCTATGCCCAGCATGGAACCCAAAACACGGCTTGATCTCACAACTCTGAAATCATGACCTGAGCTGAAATTAAGAGCCAGACGCTTAACTGACTGAACCACCCAGGTGCCCTTGGTTTTTTTTTTAATGGCTCAAGATCCAATCCAGGATTACTAGTCCATTTAATCAACACTCATCTCCTTAAGCTCCTTCAATGTGGACCAACTTCTCAGCCTTTTGTGTCTTTTATAATATTAACATTTTTGAAGAGCACAGGCCAATTATTTTGTAGAATATGGATTTGCCTATTATTTCCTCATGATGAAACTCAGATTATGCATGTCTGGGCAGGAATATCCAGAAGTAATGTTGTGTCCTTCTCAGTGCATCACATCAGGAGGCTTGGGGTGTCTGTTTAGACATCATTGATGTTTCTTGCCTGAATTAGTTGATACTTTGAGTTACAAATGGTGATTTTTAAATGTGATCATCCTTCTACATTCATTAGCTGGCACTCTATGGTAAGAAAGAACTTTCTCGTTTATTTATTTATTTACTTACTTACCTATCAAACTATCTGCTTGTTATCGATTCTTATTTTACTCAACGGACTATAGTCCATTACTGTCATTACTTATTTTGACACTCAAATTGTCACATATTTGGCCAGAAGGAACAATTTTAAGCTTCTTTGCCCTTTCACAAGTCCACATCATTAAAATATTTTGGGGGGCAGTACTTCTTTACTTTCTGGTGCAAGGTGTTCCAAGTTCATCCTGTTCTTTCCCTGCCTCGACTCTGAATCCCCAAGCCGTTTTTTCAAGAACTCTATTTTAGTGGGAAGCGCTATTTAGAAAGGAAGATCTGTGAACACAGAGCTGTTGTGGTGGCTATGAGGCTATTGTTTCTGGACCCTCCAGCAGGTGAGCTGGGGAGCATACGTACATGGTGAGTACATTGTCCACTACAATTGCATTTTATTAAACATTAAGTAGTTCCATTAAAATTATATCCATGTGAACTCTTCTCTAAGTGACAACTTGAAATAAACAATACAAGCCAAGCAGATATTTAATACCTATTTGTCTGCTATTTTGGTATTGGAAGTACTGCCTTAAAGCGTGTTTTAAGTGAGTTTGTATTTGATCAGTGTTCATACTGTTTTCTTCCTTCTCAAGTAAGACCAAGATTCCCGGAAGAATCTTTTCCTTTTACCACAATCTATGTGCATATCTTAGAGTCATCTGTTTGATAAAAGGGGAAGTGAGTACATATATAGGCCCCCTTCTTCTATTTAAATTGTTCCTCTACTGTTTACTTAGGGATCAAAGCACAAGAGAAAAAAAATGCTTGGTACTTTTATAATCAACCAATAATTTATTCCTAATCTAAGGAGGACCTTAGTACCATATTTTTAGAAAACAAAGAAAATATCTTACTCATAAGTTTCCAGGCTATTTGGAGATTTTTCCACCAGATAACTGCTTGGTACATATCCTTCATGCCTGTTAAAAGAGAAATTCATGTTTAGACTATTATAGGACAAATTTTCACATCTCCATTTTAGAGGTGGTTCAATCCGTTAAAAGTCATTTAAAGATGGGGGAGTCTTACATTATTTGGCATTCATGATAAGACATTTTAAAGTTTTAGAATAAAAGAGTCGCTAAAAATAACAAAAATCCACCATCTGTTAAAGGCAATAGATTTCACCACTAAAATGTGAACCATAATAAATAAGAAGTGGCCATGTCAGTCAAAAAGCATTATTTGTTGCTCTCCTCATTGTGAAATTTCCTCTAGTGGAAAAAAGATTAATGTTCAGTCTCTATTTTCTATAAGGAAACATTTTCTTTGGGGTGTGACAATTAGTATTTTTTCCACTTTAGTGCTACCATTTTATAGTCAAGAACCCAAAATAATTAAAATATAAAAAATCACTTTCCAACCACAGGTCCCAAAAGATACTGCCAGTCAGCATTATAAGCTTTTAATTCAAGGCCTCCCTAATATGTTGTTGTTGTTAGTTGAACTCCCTCAGATACAAATGGTAAAACATGAGAAAAAAGAATAGAGTCACGCTGGATTTAGAGGTAGGAGCTTCTTTTGAGCAGGAATACATAATTGTGCATAAACAAAGACATATGGATAAGGAGACTAATCAGCACATCAAAATACTTTACATTTGTGTGTGGTCTTGTATTTTGCAAAGCACGTTCACATTCATTATTGCATTTAATACTACAAGGTGAAAACAATGTCTCTTTTACTCTCTGGGGCTCTGGCTCCCTCTCTGTAAAATGAGGGCCTTAAACTAGATTCCACATAAAATTCCTCCCAACTCTGCCAATCTATAAAAAGATGCCTGAGAGTTTCTTGCTCTTTACTTCATAAAGCATATTTTAATTTTTATATAATAAGGCCATTTTTCAATCTGGTGATGGTGTTTAATGAGGAATGCATAATCTATTTTACAGAATTGTTTTGAGGAGTAAAGAAATCAAGAATGGGGATGCCAAATATGGGAAGATTGTCTCATATCCTGTGCCCATGGCTGACATTGCTAGTCAATCATGACATGCTTCCTTTGGAGAACTGAACACCCAGCTTCAGAATCATCCCTAATATGGTGCTCAAGGCAGTCTGTGCCAATTGATAGAAATCAAGTTATTCTAAAATTTGCTATTTCTTTTATATCTGTCTTTTGGAATCCACTTGATTTTGTCTGGTTTTGCCAACCATATGTTTGCAATTCCAGTACTAGGTCAAATATAATTTTTACTTTCAAATAGAATAACTGTGTTCTAATATGCCAACCACATAACATTATGTGATAATATGATTATCACAAATGGTGATTCTCTTCATTTGTATGTGGATGTAGAATTTACAAAGCTCCTTTCACTTTTAGCATCTCATTGATTCCCTCAACCCTGTAAGATAGACGGAGCTGATATTATCATCTGTGTTTCATAGATAAGGAAATGGATGCCTAAAGTTTAAGTGACTTTTCCAAAGACCTACAACAAGAGCAGCTGATACTAAAGTCCAAGGCTTCTGTCGCCCCATCTTGTGTACTTTCCACGATACTGCATTATTACAAAGCACGCTGGGGAAATTCCCAAAACACCAATTAGATTCTAGGGTGTCCTCTTTGATGGCCTTTGAAGTGCAGAGCTGAGTATTTCCATAGGCCACTGAACAAAGGGTAAACTGTCATTTGGGGAAGTGAAACCTAGGAGAAGAAATTTCTTGGCACATTAGGTGTGCTACATTTATTTAGCAATGATATTTAGCAAATAAATGTCAGTTGACTGGAGGAGTGAATTTCTGAATAAGTTCTTCTGGCAGTCTGTTTCTGATATGGGACTCCTTATAATAGGCAAAGCGAAGGTGATGTGATAGGCCTCACTTGCCTCCACGAGTCAGCTAGAGAGGGAGGTTCCACACGAGGTGCTTTGGGGTCTGTTCCTAGCTAGCCAGCAGCACTGGCTCCTAGACCACAGTCCTTGAACGCACCGTATTTTCCACCCCTCCCTCACTCTCCCTCTAGTGGTGTCAATAAGGCTACTTAAAGAGAAGGCGCTTTGACAAAGCAAGTTTTGATCTCTGTAAAAAGTAAAGCCTTAACCCTAAAGATATTTGTGTGCCTCTTTTTTTACTCATCAGATTAGCTTTTTTTTTTTTTTTTAAGGTTCGTGATACCCAGTGTTGACACTCCCACACACTGTTGGTGGGTAGTGGGAATGTAAATTTGGCAACCTTTCTGAGGGAATTATCTACCTAAATTGAGATGCTCTGACTCAACAGTTCCATAGTTAGAAATATGAGATAAATATTTTTGCAAAAGAAAAATATATTTTTAAAACTATATATGTTGCAATTTTTTTTCAAAAAATTGCCCAGAAACATGAGCATGAGCAATATGAGATCTTCATTGTGGCTTTGTTTAAAATAACAAAGAAAACAATTTGGAAACTAAATATCCTACCATTTAAGATCATTCAAATATTTATAATACAAGCACACCTTCCAAAACTATGCAATTATTTAAAAAATAAATTTGTATCACTGATATGAAAAGATCTCCAAGATATATTACTAAAGGTCAAAAGCAAGGTGAAGAGCAGAATGAATCACCTTTGTGTGAATGAAAAAGAAAGGATTCATTTGTGTATGTATAAATTTTTTGTTTGGGATACATAAGAAAGTGTTAATAGTGATTACTTTTGGAATTGATATGGGGACAAATGGAGGTTGGATTTTTATTTTTTTTAAATAAAACATCGATTTAGGCCATCCAACACTGCAGTGATGGAGTCTTTTCTTTTTCTTTTTTATATTTTTAAATCAGTAATAACCTCATGCTTTAAAAATGTATAAACCTGTAATATTAGTATACAAGGATGTTCATTGCAGTGTTGTTAATATCTGCAATATATTGGAAATAACCTGAGCACCCAGCAAGAGAATTGCTCAGTTATGGTATACTTTTGTGTTAGATTTATGCAATCATTGAAATCATATTCTGGAGAATATTCCAGGGCTTGGGTAAATACCTCTGACATATTAAAAGGAAAAACTAAAGCCTTATAAAACAATATGAATCTGATGCCTTAAAATTAAGTACTAGTATCTAAGTCATATATATCCCAGAGCATTCTGAAAGTTAACAAAAGTAATTTTGTTGTATTTCAGATCAGAGAAGGGCTTATAAGATTTTTTTTTTTTCCATTCAGAACTCCCATAGTGGGCAACTGGTATTAGCACAACTCAACTTTCTCCCTGAATCATGTAGATGGCTAGTTCAAAGACTGGTAGTGTAGCTAAGTCTTTAGTATCTTCTTCCTGATGCTTCTTAATATAACCACTAATCTGTACCATTTCCACATGCTTTTTCTTTTCACTGAAAATAGACACTTCACAATGGGATGTGCCTTCAGTCTCATCTAAACACTCAAGAACAATAGTGCTTCCTTGTAGAACAAGCTGCCAATCTCCTACTCTATGGATGTTAGTGAAAAAACCCAGGGAATTTTTAGATGGGCTTGGGGGCTGGGAGTGCTTGTGGGGGAGCGAGCATAGCAAGTGACACCTCCACCACTTCTGAGAAGTGGAAAGATCCCCTCAACCACTTCTGCCTTCCTCTTTCTTTTACCTCTGCTCTCCTCTCCTAACTCAGCACAATGGTCATGCTGATGGAGGCAGGACATATCATTCCAGTGTTTTCTCTGTTCTCACCTACCCTCAAGCCCTGGGACAGCAACCACAAAGATGCCTTACCCATTCCTGTCCTGTACTCTCCACCAGTGAATCTCGGAACTGTCCAGCAGGTAGTACTCCTCATTGCGTTGTAGCATGAGCTCCTGTGGATCGTTTGTTTGGTAGTCATACAAGGCAATGACAATGGTTTCTTCATGTTCCCGAAGTGATCGCTGGAGGAGGTAGAAAACAAAACCAAGCGATGACATAGAAAGGAGGTAAACTGCAGAACAAGGTCAACAAGTCCCTAAATTATAACTTGCTCCTGGTTCTATGCCAGGTCAATACACCAGTTCCTACAATCCATTGGGTATTTGCTGAAACCACCTGCCTTCTCTAGTTGGCTTTCTTTATGACTTAAGACTGTAGTGCTGAATATGACACAAAGACAATCAGTACCTGGAATTCTTTGCCCCTCTCATTCTGTGTGCTGAATTTTGACCACAGTGAATTCCAAGCAGCTACATGCTTTTCATAAAAGTCTGTTGGTCACAAGTTGCAGCCTCTCTACTGGCAGCATCATATTCTCGATGAAAGTGATGCAGTCACTGCTAAGTTATTCAGTACATGCTTTTCTGATTTGACTTGCAGCTTTGTCCAGATCCATAGGATCATAGACTCCTGGAGCTGGAATGCCTCTGAGAGATCATTCAATCCATTCTTCTGTTTAGAATGGGGAAACAGAGCCCCAGATGGGGAAATAGATATGGCTAAGCTTAACCCTTGAATTAATCTTAATGCTCTCTCTACGATAGCACATGGACTTCCTTCTTCCTCTTAGGGGCTCTCTTGCCTAAATCTACTTCTCAGTACCTTTTTAAGAATGATATGTTGAAGACATGAAGAAGAGATGATAAAGCAAACAATTGTGGAAGTTCAGGAAGGGCACACTTGCTACAGTTTGGCAGATTTTGTGAGACAGTAAATATGGAAGAGATTGAGATTACTGGTGGAGATGAGATTTGGTGTTGAGAAGCCAGTTTCTTTCTTTTTCTTTTTCTTTTTTTAAAGATTTTATTTATTTGACAGAGAGAGACACAGCGAGAGAGGGAACATAAGCAGGGTGAGTGGGAGAGGGAGAAACAGGCTTCCCACTGAACAGGGTGCCTGATGTGGGGTTTGAACCCAGGACCCTGGGACCATGACCTGAGCCGAAGGCAGATGCTTAACGACTGAGCCACCCAGGTACCCCGAGAAGCCAAAGTTTCTATGAGCACATTGAAGCATTTGGTGGTATAAAAGTCCTGGAGATCTAGAAAGAAAAGCTTGTCGTACTGATGTAGTATGTCATCCCAGCTGAGCCCAGTTTAGGATTTGAAGTCTAGATATCGGTGGAGCTCATGAGATGGTGTACTGGAGTACTGCAGATAAGAGTCAATGGGACTGAGGCTTTCACCCCAAGAGCTAATGGAGGAAGGATTTATATTCAAGGGCACCTGAAGATTGCAGAGGGCTATGACATCATGGTATTCATCCCATTATAGGCCCAACTAATTGATCAATCCCTATGAAAAGAAAGCTAAGAGCAAGGTTCTCAAACCATGGTGGTAGCTTTCCATAGGGAGCATCTTGGACATCTATGGGGATGTTTTGAACGTCAGAAAGGTTTAGGTGTGCTGCTAGCATTTAATGGGAGAGGACCAAGAATGCAAAAAATCTCGGCAGTATCCCACATCCTGTACAACTTTTGAACGTCCTATTAAACATTCATGTGGTGAGAAACCTGCTTATAATAATAATATATAATAATACTCTGAGCCTAGATCCTACCTCTACCCTATATAGTTGGGACTATGGGGGAAACCATCTGCAAGCCAGAGGTGACTTCCCCAGATATGGCTTGATTCACCTAAATCTTATAAGTCAGTATATTAGATCAGTCTTTCTCCCTACTTCAATGTGCTCCAGAATCACCTAGAGGTTTATTAAAATGCAGATTGCTGAGACCCTCTTCCAGAGTTATGAATACAGTAGGTCTGGGGTGGGGCCTGAGAATTTACATTGCATTTCTAACCAGCTCCCAAGTGATGCTGATACTGCTCGTCCAGGGACCACACTTTGAGAACCACCACTTGAGTTAAAGACCACCACTCCAGAAGCTCTGCTGCCTACTAGCTTAACTACTAAGCTGTTGAATGGCCTTGGAAAAGACTCAAAATCTCTCTTGGGACTTGATTTCCCAAGCTTTAAAATGTGAATAAAACTATAACCCTCTGAAGTGGCTAGAACAGACAATGAGGAAAGGAGGTACATTCATATATATGTGTATATATATTTAATATATAAAGATTTATATATATGTATATCTTTGAAATAGTAAAAGTGTGGAAGTACTTTGAAAAATATAAAATAATATCAAAAGTAAGGTGTGGAGTAACTATACAATTTTATTTTATTTTTTAAAAAGATATTATTTATTCATTTGAAAAAGAGAGAGAGAGAGCATGAGTGGGCAGAGGGAGAGGGACAAGCAGACTCCCCACTGAGCAGGGAGCCCAACTTGTCCCAGGCTTATCCTTTTAAAGATTTTATTTATTCATTTGAGAAAGAGAGAGAGAGAGAGAGAGCATGAGTGGGCTGAGGGAGAGGGATAAGCAGACTCCCCACTGAGCAGGGAGCCCAACTTGTCCCAGGCTTGTCCCATTGTCGTACTGATGCTTCATTGTCGTACAATGCTTCTGAGATCATAACCTGAGCTGAAGGCAAACGCTTAACCATCTGAGCCAACCAGGTGCCACAATACACTATTTTATATAGATAGCTGTCATTATACCCCAAAGTGGTCAGGTGGCTGGATACACAGTTTGTTATCAATAAGTTTTTGTTGAATGAATAAAGTAAACTGAGGACTTAGCAGCTGAGCAGTCCTTTTATGTAAACAGACCCATGAGACAGTTCAGGTTCAAGAGACCCAGTGTGTTCATTTCAACTGAATTACTATAACCTGCTGCATTTGCCAAGGATCTGAAAAATCTGGGCAGATGGGGAAAGTGCAAAGGGGACATGCCAGTCAGGCAGCTGCAGTGATGGGTGTCCACCGTGCCCAGAGCTCGAGCCCTTACTTACCCTGTTGTCTTCAGGAGTAGGAGGAAGAGGCTTCTTTGAAGCTGAAACGAGGAAAACAGAAAAAGAAAATGAGCATGAAACCGAATGTGCCCAACCGGAGGTGAGCAGCCAGAGGGCTTTTCAGAGAAAAGGGGCCCTTAGGTGAACAACAGAAGAAAAGGGCCAGAAGAAGCTGATGAGACACAGAGAAACGAAAATCAGCCTTGTAGAGCCCGTGTTTTATCTCTTTTAGCCTATTGGTTCCCCACTTTATTTTCTAGAAGATACCAGAAACTTCTAAAAGTCAATATTCTGTATTCCCAGTTAAAGCCTAATCCAAAAGTTGCTTCAGAGGCATTAGGCTTGTGTCCTTCCATGTGGGCCGGGAGACCTCCACAAACACACCTACCACCTGCCAAACCCCGGAGTGGGAATTGGTGACTCAGGGTAACAGTGACTCAGCTTCCTGAGGTAGCCATGGGCTTGGGGAGGAGGTGGGTGAGGTGAGGGGTCATTGTGTTATTTTTGGGGAGGGCTGGAATCTACTTTTAGTTACCTTAATGCTTCTGAGCATGTGTTCTGGCTACCTCCTCCAAACAACACCCTTAGCACCTCTCTCTCTCTCTGTTTATCTGTTTATGTCTCCACAGCTCCCTCTCTTCACCTCTCCTCTATGCCTTCTTTCCTGCTCTCTTCTTTCTCTCCCTCCTTTTGTCTCTTCCTCTGTCTCTTGGTATTTCTCCTTTGAGGCCCTGAAAAGGTCATTCCTGGAATCAATAGACCAAAGTTGAATGTCTGAGAGTAGGTGTGGCATGGGAGGCCGCACATCAGCTTCTGCTCAGTTCAAAGAATGATTTAAAAATTAGAGATAATATGGGAATAGGCTCCATAAGTAGGTGGTGAGCTCCTCATCTCTGCATGAGATTGACTCACGTATGAGGTTGATCCCTTCCTGACCGGGACAGCATCTCTCAGGAAGGCGGTAAGAGGAGACCAATACAGTGACATAGGAACCCAGCCCGTGTGCTAACTCCTTAAGCCAGGGCAGGGTGGGGTGTTGACTTGGGTTTGTGATTAACAGAGAAGAAGCAAACAAACGTAACTGGAAGCATGGATCCTATTTAGCACTCAACTCAGAGTACCAGGAGACTGGCATTCTCTCCCCAGCTCCACTGGGAATGAGCTGTGTGGCCTTGGGCCCCTTCCAACCCTGAACATTCTGCAACGTATATCTTTTCCTCTAGCCTTGCTCTTCCCTTCTTTCTTCTCCCTCTGGGTGCAGTTGGATTGTATGACATCAGAGCCAGTTCTGGTTGCAGAAATGAGTGTCGCTGTGGGTTGGGTAGAGCAGGGTCCATTTTTACCCAACCACCTCCGCTGCTTTCCAGACATACACACACACACTGCTGTATCTCAGCTTCAGATTCCTCTGTCTACAAATAAGAAAGACTAGTGGGCATAATTACCATTTGTTGAGAGCTCAGTAAGTGCCAGCAGATGTGTTAAGAGCTTTCCACAAGCCCATTGTTGCAAACATGAATGTAGGACCACTAAGAGACTGACTGTATAGTAGTTAGGCCCTGGGTTCATGGGGTGAGCAGTTCAGCATGAGCAGCCATCTCCAAGTGCCATGATGGTGAGTCATTCAGATGCTCATCACCCTCAGTCATGTGTCTAGCACTCAGTGGAGGGAAGTACTATGCACCAAGAGGGTCAGCTGCAACACTCATGGTGAAAACTGCAAAATGGAAACACAGACTCAAGGAATTCCAGAACTGGAAAGGGGCTTGGAGATTGTTTCATCGTAGGACCCCTAAAAGTTCCCCTAACATTGGAGCAATGAGGACATTAGGGCCCTTGATGGCCAAGTGATTGGTCCAAGGGCCCACAACAAAGGTGCTGGCAGGAATTTGGAGAGCAGACCTCTAGCTTTGGAAAGGGCTTTCATGCACCAGTGAAAGCCCATGCCGTCTTGTTAATACGGTGGATTTCACCCACATAAAACCTTCTGTTTCATTTTTATGAAATACTAGCCTTTGTGAATATGGTCCATAGGGTAATGCAGAAGATCATTCACTTCTAAAACCAGGTATATATTGTTCTTCTGGGCCAGGGGACTGGTAACCTTAAACTTTCTCTCCCAAGGTGGAGGGTGAGAAGTAATAGTTTTTAAAGTGGTACTAAGAGGGGCTGTGACTCAGGAAGCCACGGAAAACCCAGACATGTGTTACATTTAGCACATCCGCCTTGGGTTGTCAATGTGAGGTATTCTGTTTTAGTGCGAAAAAGAAACTGACAAATGAAAAAATGTGGCTAGGGTAAGAGAGGTTGAGAGGAGAGGGGAATGGAAGCAAAACAATTCACAGGATCCATCATTCCTATTCAACAATGGCTTTGCAGAGCACTTCCTCACTGTGTGACCTTGAGCATGCTCAAGGTCTCCTGTTTCTGTGACCTCACACCATCTCCCCCAGACGACTGTGGGGAATGGGAGCTCACCATGTGTAAAAGTGCATGCAAGTGAAGTTGCACTTCATTGAAGGTTCAGGTCCCAGAGCAATGACAGAAGGGAAAAGTGGGTCGCACCCCAATCCCGCATTCCAGGGCCTTTGCCCTCCAAGAACCAGAAACACTGTCTTTTGTTTTCATTTTGCATTTAGGCTCTGACCTCCTTTTCTCTGAGATTATAGAGATTGATGGCGAGTTTGAAGGGGAGGCAGAGAGAAGCCACAGAGTACAATAAACAGTTTTTGGTTTTGCTTTCTTCCCCTCCAAGAGGATAAAGTTGAGCTAGTGGAATTAAATATATGTGTGATGTGACACCACTGTAATAAATAAATGATGTTATGGATCTCTAAGTCTGTCTCTACAACTTAAGACTTAAGTCGACCATGCCATTTACATTTTCTAACTTGAAGGTTATGGCCGTGCTTCCCAAACTTTACCATGCACACGAATCTCCAGGAAATTTGTTAAAATGCAAATTTTGATAGGGCAGCAGACCTGGGAGGGGGCTGGAGAATTTATATTTCTAACTAGCTCGCAGGTGATGTTGACAGTACAGGTCCAAGGATGACACTTTTAGTAGCAAGGAGCTACAAAGGCATAAGGTTTGAGATGAAAAACATCAACAGGCAAGTAGTAGAGGCAGATGATTTCCTTCTGAAAGTTCTAAAAATGTAAAATTTTGTATTCAATCCATGACACCCCTGATTTTGGGAAGATGTGAGCTTTTACCTCCTACGATTAGAGAGGTCAGTCATTTTGCAAAGAAGAAAGGGGAATTCCTAGTCTCTTACCATTCTTTGTTGGATCGTACTGGGCACAGCCCACTGCAAGCTTCTCCAGCTGAGCACAGCACCTCCATCTCCCATCCATCCAGAAATTAGGATGATACATGGGCACCAAACTGTTATTATTCTTTGTTTCTGAAAGAGATTAGCACCAGTAGAAGAGTTATTTTCAGGTTAGTCTATCAAGGGCTACCAACTTCACAATTCCCTGAGATTGGACCCTGCATAAGCTTGAGTGAATAGTACATGTTGGATTTAGGCATTACCAGATCTGGGTTCTTGTCTGGCCTTGCGTTAATTGTATGTCCCTAGGTTGGACAACACCCTCATCTGAGCCTCAATACACCCTCTGATCCTAGACTGGATCAGTGGGCCCTACAAAAGCGCCCAAGGGGCACTGGGAAGACTGAGTGGGAGGGATTCCGGCCCCTTCATCTCTCCCACCTTCAACCACAGGAATTTTGCTTTTATCCGTTCTAGATTTGTGGCTTTAAAGTGAGATTTTGGTAGGAAAATAAAAAAAAGGTTCTCCTGCTGAAGAAAAGAAGTATAAGAAGTGGAGCTCTAGATAAGCCATCTCAAATGTTCCTTCCAGCTCTAACATCCTGTGAGTAAAGCCCTACGCAGAGGGAGACTAGCCAGTGGACACAGTTGGAGCCCTTTTGATAACTTTTTACTTTAATGTTTATACCGAGCTCCATGACTTGAGAGCATTTTCCAGCTTACCCAGCATTGGCCCGTTCATACCCTATTTGAGACAACGACCTTGGAAGAAGATAAGAACTGTATTTTTATTCTCATTTTTCAGGTAAAGGCATCATGGCTCCCAAGATTCTAAATGGTTTACTTACTCTTCATCCTTATAGCTACTTAGAGACAGATTAATATCTGAACCCAGTTCTCCTGTAAACCCAAGGCTCTGGGCAAAATAACAGTACCACCGATTGAGTGCTTTCTTGGGTATGGTTCTAAGTGTCTGACATGTCTTAACACGTTTAATTCTCACAATAACCGCGTGACCGATTGTTATTAGTCAGAATTTATAGCTAAGGAAATGGAGGCCCTGGAAGGTCGAGGAACTTGCCCCAGGTCACAGACTAATAATTGGCAGAGCTGGGATTTTCACCTTAGCAGCCTGGCTGCACCTCTCACGTATACCCACTATGCTGGTTCAAATGATGCTGCCAGGGAGGCAAGCCTAAGAAATATCCTTCCTGCTGATCTGAAAACCTTTAAAGCTAGCTAACGTTTATCGGGTGCCGACTCTGGGCCAGGCTAGTTCCAAGGGCTTTCCTCGCAGCAGTCCTGGAGGCAGGTACTATTATTATCGTTCCCTCCTTCTTTCCTTTTTTATAGACGGGGAAACTGAAGCACAGAGCAGCTGAGGACGTTGCCCTCGCACACACGGTTAGTAAGTAGCAGAGTCAGGATTCAAACTCAGGTCATCTAACTCGAGGGCCCGTCCTCTTATTCTTCACACTAGACCAGGAGTGGGCAAACTTTTTCTGAAAGGGCCAGATAGTAAATATTTTAGGTTTTGCTCACCAGCAGGCAAAATCGATATGTTATGGAGGTACTTCTCTAATCCTTTAAAATGGGACCATTTAAAAATACAAAGACAATCCTTAGCTCAGAGCCTTATGAGAACAGGTGGTAGGCTGGATTTGGCTGACCTTACACTGTACTGATTGTTGCCCCTTGGGCCGAGGGTGAAAAGCTGGAATCCAACACGACCACCAAAAGCAAGCAGTATTTGACCACCCGCTGCCCTTTATCTTACTGTGAACCCCAAGCCCACTAGAGGATCAAGGGATCTCAGGGAGCCATTGGCAAGGAGAGTCATTACCTTCTTTAAGGGCCAGAACCCAGCGCTGCCGGCTCTCACGGTCTGGAGCAAACACATACAGGAGGTAGTTGTCATGCACAACCTGGAGATACACACAGAGTCCAAGGTGAGCCGTGCGCCCAGAGGTGGATGACTGAGAGCAGGCCCATCTGGCGTAGGGAGCCGAGAGTGGGGCCTCAGGTGTTTATTACTTAAAGGCAAACATCTGGGTGATTAGGAGATCAGTGTCCTTTTTATCCAGATATTTGAATGCTCTGCAGACACAGGGTGTATTTCCACAGCTCAGACTATTTGTCTGAGATTCCATGTTATTAGTAAGCCATTGCTAAATTAAAACAGCGGGACAAAAACCTCTCCATGTGACAGCATATTTATTTCTCATATTAACTTTTAAGTGATTAAAAAAATCTTTCTGGCATATGAAAGAGTAAAAAATTAGATGAAAAATGTATAATCGAGATTTTAAAAACTTATTTTGAAATAATATAAGACACCCCAGTGGTTCCATAAATAGTACAGAGTTCCTGTGTTCTTTTCACCCACCTCTCCTTAATGATAACATCTTATTACATAACCACAGTACAGTTTCAAAACCAGGAAATTGGCATTGGTCCAACACTACTAACTAAAGTACAGATCTTCTTTGAATTTTACCAGTTTTTTTTCATGTACTCTGTTTTTTTGTTTGTTTTTGTTTGTTTGTTTTTAAGTAGGCTCCATGCCCAGTGTGGAGCCCAGTGCAGGGCTTGAACTTACAACCCTGAGATCGAGACCTGAGCTGAGATCAAGAGTCGAATGCTTAACCAACTGAGCCACCCAGGTTCCCTTTTAATGTGCTCATTTTTTTTAAAGATTTTATTTATTTATGTGAGAGAGAGAGAGCACACAAGAGAGTGAGCATGAGCGGGGACGGGGGCGGGCAGAGGGAGAGGGACAAGCAGACTCCCCACTGAGCCCAACGTGGGGCTCTACCCTAGGACCCCGAGATCATGACCTGAGCCAAAGGCAGACATTTAACCAACTGAGCCACCCAGCATCCCCTAATGTACTCATTTTTAATTGGAATTTTTTTTTTTAAGATTTTATTTATTTATTTGACAGAAAGAGAGAGAGCCCAGATAGTCAGAGTGGCAGGCAGAAGGAGAGGGAGAAGCAGGCTCTCCACTGAGCAGTGAGCCTGATGCGGGGCTCGATCCCAGGGCCCTGGGATCATGACCTGAGCCGAATGCAGACGCTTAATTGACTGAGCCACTCAGGCGCCCCTAATTGGAATTTTAATGACAGGAAAATACATGTTATTCATTTTACTTTCATTACTAAAAATTTCAACTCATGGAGGTCAACTTTCTAGTAAGAAAAGAGTCCTTTTCTGTGTCACATTAAAAATGGAATATTTACCTCTCAAATTGGTGAAGAGGAACAGTACCCTAGAAGGTACAAGAAGATATCCACTGCTTCAGAGTCATAGATGCCAAGAGTGAGGACAAGATTTGGACAGTGTCATGACCTAAAGACAAATGATAACCTCCACCAGCTCTGTCCAGTAGGACTTTCTGCAATGGTGGAAATGTTTTATTATCTGTTCTGTCTAACACACAGCTATTGAACATGTGAAATGTTCATTCATTCAGTGTGGCTTAGTGTGACTCAGAAATTTTTAATATTGTTTAGTTTAAACATTAAACATCCACATGTGGCTAGTGGCTACTGTATTGGATAACACAACTCTAGCTAGTTCTGAGATTATAAAATTTGAGTCTTTTTGTCCCAGAACTTCCAAACAATTTGTAATCAAGTACTACAATCTGTTGCCTCAAAACATGAGTAAATTGTACTTAAAGAATATTAGGTTTGGGGCCATTGATAGGTTTTTTTTCCTTACTCTAGGAGCAGAGAATTGGGATTTTTGTTGAGGTAGGGAAGACATGAGAGTAAGGGAAATGAGGAATGAAAACTTTTTCAAGATTTTATGCTTTGTTGAATAGAATGAATGAATGAATGAAGGAATGAATGAATGAATGAATGAAAGAACACAGCAGCTTTGTTGCGGGCTTTGTTGCGATCTAACTATAGATCAGAGTCGTTCCTGTCCCACCTTCTAATACAATGACTGAGGATTTCAACCATTGTCCCAGGAATGGGGAACTAGTTCCCTCAGGTGTAGTGGACTTACCTGAAATGGATATTTATAGTGGCATGGGATACTAATGTCACTTTTCACAATCTCGACACATTTGATTCGGGAGAGTTCAATGGAGCCCTTCAATGTGCGCTTTTTCTGTGGGGAAAAAAAGCATATTCTATTTAAAGAAGAGAGCAGACAGTATTTTTGTCCAGGTTGCTTATGGAAATCCACTACTAGAAAAGATCCATTAGCTTTGTAAACTAACCCCCCCATATATCCAGAAGCTATTTCTTGGCCCTCTGGGCCTCAGAGAGACATTCTGAGCAGATTCCTGGGAGAACATGCCCTGTGAATTGTCTCTTGATGGGGTGACTGATTTTTACTCATTGAGCCTTGATGTCTTATATCTCAGTGACCTTTTGACAAACAGCAGCCTTGTAAGTGGGGTGGGGAATGCAGTATGGAAACCGACTCCATGCGCCCGTTCTCTCTGTTTTGTGCCGACCCATTGCCTGGCCTGGATGGTGATATATACCTTTAGTGGCACCTTTCTTTCCTACATCTGGTTCCTCTAGGTCCCTTATATTTATCAACCGTCCCACAATGACACCCCTGTAGGACATTCCTGACTCTGCTCTCTAACTATCTCTTCTTTACACCCCCATCATCTTACTGGCTTCACGTATCATTTCCTTGGACATTTGCTAGGTTTATTTCCTTGGTAATTAATTTATATTATGGTCACATGATGGTTATGATCTATAATGATGTTACATATTACTCAATTCTAAGGGTCCTTGTACTTTGAGAATGGATCCCAGGGGATGTCACCCAATGGGATAGATTCTACTGCTAACTATCAGGCTGCAGGGCTAGTTAGGGGAAAGCTTTTGTGGAGCAGAAGCCTTTCACAAGTGCCTACAATGAGGCTTCCATTGAGAACAGAGTTTAATTCAGCTATGGAACCAGCTGCAAAATACTGCATTACACCTTATCTTTTAGAAAGAGGTAGCAAACGGTGGTGAATTGGACAAAAGGTTGAAAAGGACTAGGTTCAAAGTTGGGTTCTGTTTCCTTATTGATTTTCTGTCTGGATGATCTATCCACTGATACAAGTGGGGTATTCAAGTCACCTACTATTATTGTATTACTATCAATCTCTCCCTTTATGTCTGTTACTATTTGCTTTATGTATTTAGGTGCTCCAATGTTGGTTGCATAGATATTTACAATTGTTATATATCCTCTCATTGTATTGGTCCCTTTATCATTATGTAGTGTCCTTCTTTGTCTTTTGTTACCATTTTTGTTTCAAAGTCTCATTTTGACTGATACAAGTATTGCTTGGATTTATGTGTGTGTGTGTGTGTGTGTGTCCATTTGCATAGAATACCTTTTTTCCTCCCTTCACTTTCAGTCTGTATACATCTTTGGGTCTGCAGTGAGTCTCTTGCAGGCAGCATATAGATGAGTCTTGCTTTTTTTTTTTATCCATTTTGTCCCCCTATGTCTTTTGATTGGCACATTTAGACCATTTACATTTAAGTAATTACTGATAGATGTGTACTTATTGCCATCTTATTACTTGTTTTCTAGTTGTTTTTGTAATTCTTCTCTGCAAAGTTGGCTCAACCTCTAACTAGCTCTGTGACCTTGGGTAACTCATCTCACCTCCCTGAACTTTAATTTTTATATCCACTAAGTGAGGATATAGTTAATGCCTACCTTTGCAAGATTATTTAGAGAATAAAATGGGCATATGTAAACAAATTACTTGGCTTATAACAGGTGCTCTCAATAAAGAGTACTCTCCCAGTTAAAGAGGTTAATGAAGTCCTAACTATGGTAAGAGAGCCATGATATGATAAAATTCTCCAGAAGTGAGCTCAGTTTGTACTTCCTATTTTTTTGAAATCCAGCCTAGTTGCTGGCCTTTGCTTGGGCCAGAACTGAGATGAAAAAATGCCTTGTGGTGTTTCTTTTTAAATTTTCTTTCTAAAAACTACTTTATTCATTTTTGAAAGTACAGAAATTATACATGTTCACTGTAACAAATAAAATAATATGGAAGTATGTTACGAAAACATTTATAGTGTCATATCATTCCACCCTTCTCCACAACCTTGAGATAGCCAAGGTTAACCATTTGGAATGCATTTGTCCTTCCCACACACACTTATAGGATATATACAAACAAAAACAATCATCTGCTCCGCACAGTGGTCTACAGCTTGCTTTTGTAATCTAAGGATGTATTAAAAGGTCAGTTTTCCCTTAAAAACCTCTGAAAACATGTATCCTTTGAGCTCAAAATATCTTCTCATTTAGAGTCTTCCACAGCTAGAAATACATGGCTTGGTTCTGCCCATAATCATAGTTCTTTAGGATGGTTAATCTGTTTTTTAAAAACAGAAGAGCACAAGGGAGCTGCCTTTTCAGCAACCTTCTGCCACTGTGGGTAAACAGGGAGTCTGAGCTTTGAGGTTATCTTGTTTTTTTACCTCTGTTGCATTATTTCCTTAGTAGTATACATAGTAAAATGCAACAAAAGGCTCATGGCAGTAGTAGGACAACTCTGTTTGCAAGACATGTTTATCCTTGGAAGCCACTAAGTCCTGTTCTCCCTGAGAGTGAGGCCAGGACATCTATCACCATATTCCTAAGGCATAGTGACAGGCTTACAACAGGTGCTCAGTCAGAATGATATGAATGGAGGGCACCACGCTGAAACACAGTTTAAACAATCTCAGTCAGATTTAAGGCTAATGCATTTAATTCTTCAGGAACTATTTACTGGGGACCAGCTATAAGCTAAGTGCTGTTATGAGAGCAAGAAATAGAGAGATGAACATGGTAGATCTTCTCATGGAGCTCACAGTCTTGTTGAGAGGGCAGACAATATAAACAAGTGCCATAAAGAGAATAGAGCAGGTTGATGTGACCAACTTGTGGATAGGGCAGGCCTGTCTGGGGAGAGGGCCTATGAGAAAAGATCAGGGAGTTGAAAAAGGCACCAGAGATGATGTCTGGGGGTGTGGGGGTGGGTAAGCACCCTACACTGAGTTCACAGCAGGAGCAAAGCCCTAAGGTAGCAAAGTTCTGGATATGCATTTGTTGTTAATAGCCTAGGATCATCATAATCAGGGTACAAAATGGAGGTAAGTATTAACAAGAGTTTGAGTAGGGATAAAGATTCTGTGTGCTGTTTTAAAGCCATGCTGTCCAAGAATAGCAGAATGGGAACCATATATGTAACTTAAAGATTTCTAGTAGCCACACTACAAGGAATGAAAAAGAAACAATAAAATTAATTTTAAGAATATATTTGTTTACCCTATTATATCTGAAGTATTATTTCAACATGTAATCAACATAAAAAACTAATGAGATACACTATTTTTTGTACTAAGTCCTTGAAATCGTGTATTGTAGAAGACATCTCAATTTGGACCCACCACGTTTCAAGTGCTCAGCAGCCACACGTCGCTATGGCTCCATTATTGGACGGTGTGGCTTCAGGATATCCAAGGAGGGCTTCTCCTGTAACCTCAGATTATCTCTCTTAATCTCTTAATATTCATTGACTTCAAACATGGATTTTAAGAGACACCGTGTTAACAGCCGGTCAGGTGAGCTGGCTATTGGGTTTGTTCTTCTGTTGGAAGGGATTTCATGTTCCACCATCAAAACTCACTCTTTTTCCTAAATGAGTTCCCTGAGGTGGGTTGTCTTCAAAGTTCACAAGATCTGATACGTGGTAAACAAGAGTCCAGCTGTGCATCCCCCCAGCTGGGGACTGGGGAGTAGCCTGTCAGTGAGCTAAACACAGTTCCATCTCTGAGAAATGGTGATTGCCTGTAATCATCCCAAACAACTGTGCTATTTCTGAAAAATGCCAGGGTAAACTTTCCAAGGAAACCACACAAGAGCCATCAGGAAAAGAGAGACACCAAGTAAAACCTGCTCTCATTCTTACTTCTCATTCCATCTGCATCACTCGGGGTGAAGGTCACAAGACCTCACTTGGCCTTTGTCTCTTTTCTTGGCCATGTTCAAAGCTACACTGTCTTCATATTCCAAAGCTTCCACCTGGACACCTGATATGTGTCAAACACAACCCAACAAGATGCTAGTGTCTACATATTTGCATAAAGGCAAGCTTGTGCACGCAGCTTTTATATCCCCTTTCTTTTTATGTTAATATATTATACAAAATAGAATTTTAGACTGTGAGTTTCAAAAAGAGAGGCAGGGAACAAAACCAAAATAAAGGACGATTCACATTTTTGAGCACATCTTATACTTCAGGCACTCAACAGGCCAGCGCCCATTTGACCTACGATCTTGCAAAGTATCATTGCCCCATATTGCAAGTGAGGACCTTGACATTCAGAAAGGCCAAGTCTCTTAATAAGTGGACTGGAAGGCTACAAGCTCAAGTCTATGACTCCAGAGCCTGAGCGCTTAACAACTATGTTTCATGGCTCTTGCACTTGCCCCGACTTTCCACAGGAGATTTTCATTCCCCAGACTCCAGCTGAACAATCAATTGCATGCTCTATACTCTGAGCTGTGGTCTGGCAGGCATTTGTCTGTGCCCTCTTTGATCGTGCAATGCTTATGCTGAATTTGAAATGGGGAGCACATTCTCTGCTTCCTCAGAATGGTAAGTCCACTTCACTCCTATTAACATTGGCTCTTTTGCTGCAACAATGTCCAACAGATGTGTCATTGAGAAGCTAGGTATTTGATACCTAAGAAAGAAGATATCTCCACCCTCCTGAAAAACAGCCGAATTTCACCTTTTTGCTTTGGAGAGGCAGAGTGGGAGAGGATTGGAACTGTCAGGCCCGGTAGACCTACATCTGCCTGACCAGCTGTGCAACCTGAGGCAAGTGTCTCAACTTCTCAGTTGCCTTGTTTTTTTTAAGTGAGAATGATCATAGTCCCTGAATCATTGGGCTAATTTAGAGGACTTTAAAAAAAACCACATAAACCTACTCACAAACTCATTCAAATGCTAAACCAATCACTCAAGTGTTACTTCCTTTCCTTCTCCAAATACTGTACATAAAATAAGATCTTGTTCACTTGTCTTTATGTGTCCACATTTTGGGGGGTGATTTTCTTTTGGGCAAATATGTAACCAGGAA